GGTATATCATGCACCCGGTGTCCGAAAAATATTGCTCCGACTAATCCGGATTCGAGCTAAGTAGGTCTTTTTCTAGAGGTAAAACTCTATCAACAAGTATTTTAATCATTATTACATGCACATACCCGGATTCAAACCCAGGTCATAGTTTAATTGATCCAATATCTTTACCACTTGGACAAGTGTTTGTTGGTATTATATGTCTATCATCAATAGTACTGTTTAATTCGCTTGTTGAATTGTACATGGTTTAATGAGTGCAGTAAATGAGTTAAGTATTTAAGATTATTCAACGTTTGTGACAGATTGAATTCACTACCTATATCTGGTTAAAGATGCATGAGTCGATCTCTTGTTACAACTCAACTCAGGGGTGGCTCAATGTTTTTTGGAGCTTAAGGCGAGTTATGAATTCGAAGCCTTTTGATAATAAAGAAACTAAAAAAAAGGGAAAAAGTTTAACCTTCTTTATTCTTCGGTGACAACCATAAACCTGTGAGTCCATAGCAAGTAAGGTTAAAAAAATTTTCTCAAATATTATTTATATTAAATTTATCTTTTTAGCATTTTTTTTTTGAAAATATTGTTTATATTAAGTTATTTTTCTACCTTTTTTGGTTGCAAATCCATTTTAATCTGTCTTGTGACATTGTCGATTTGAGTAATATTTTATTAATTTAAGTTTTGAAAAATTTCTTTCTATTGAACCAACTGTTACATGAATAATAGTTAACATTATCTTATAAGCATTTAAAAAAGAATTAAGTCTTTTAATATAACTAAGTATATTAGTTGAATTATTATTCTCAAATATATACATTATCCGTTAAAATTTTTAGTTCATAAATATACCTAAAGCGTTATTGTCTAAAATATCATTGTGTTTTATGAAGTCCTGAAGGTTAAGACAATTTCTTTTCTAATTTTTTGTCATCAAGTACTTATAATTTTTTAAAAATAAATAGAAAACTAAAAATACTAATGTCTATTTTAAAATTTTTAAATCTACTATAATAGTGATGAGATATATAGCTATATTAACTACGTAAAGAAAATAATTTATTTTGAAAATCTCGAGGCATGTAAGAGTTTCATTAATTCTTCACATTTTCAACAAATCGCTTATTTTTATGAATTTTACGTTTTTTTTCAAATATTTATTAACACTAAGTTTAGTTAATATATATATATAGGGGCTCTCCCGATTTCGGGGCCCTAAGCAATGGCCCTAAGCGATGGCCTATTTTGCCTAGTAGGAGAGCCACCCCTGACTCAACTACAACACCTATAGTAAAATTCGATCGCTTTAAATTACAACCTGATTGAAGATTTAGTTTAAGAAGCAAACAGGATCGTGTTTCCGTTTGATTCCATTGAGTCAAAACTCGTATACTAGTGTTAATTCCTAGAAGTTGGCTCGTGATCAGTACGCTTATTACCTATAATCTCTGTTAGCTTTCTTCTCTGTTGCTATAAAGAAATCTGTAATGAGATGTTTCGTATGGAGTTTCCTTCCATTTTGGCTTACTTAAGAGATAGACATTGGAACTGCGTTAAGTGGATTAACGGTTTCACTTGAATAGCTAAATCCCGATTTATTATAACATTTAGTTACAACAATATCATCATTATTTATAATTTTACAAAAAGTTATATTCCCTCCATCACAAAAAATAATCTACATTATAAATAGTCAATTGTACTAAAAACAATTTATTCCCTCTGTCCCAAAATTATTGTCCAGTTTGAGATTTCAATTTTAGTACAATTTGAACTAAAAATACAAACTCAAACTGGATAATAATTATGGGATGAAGGTGTAATCAATAAAAAAAAAATGCATAACCCCGATGTTGAAATATACTTATGAATAAATTTTGGGCTGCTAAAAGGAGATGAGGTATACAATCTGGCCGGACATAGAAATTCTTTTGCAACACTTTCTAGGATGCAACATGTTTGTCTTTTTAAACATTTTTATTTTTGGGTTAATTCAGGAAACCCCCACTTTGCTATATATATTTGAACGTATATGCAATTTATCCAAAGACCCCTCGTACTTTTCTAAGTTTTGCAAAGTGGACGGAAAATGTCCATTTTCAACAAGTCATGTCTATGATTATATCTAACAATGGTTATATTTTCTTTTTATGCAAGAAAATGTATGTTTAAACGAATCAATATAAATTAAGCAGGAATTTCCAATTTCATCATTGTATACTTTCTCATAGTTTGACTACAATCTTGTTTATTTACGATTATATCGTAATTTGCACAGTCCTTTTTTTCCTTTCTCCTTCCTCTTTTTTATATACTGTAAACTATCTACCTTCAACAACTAACTTGTTAATAAAGTTGTAAGATCAAGATAGATGAAATAACTGACCAAAGGAAATTTAAGACTATTGTATACCCAAAACATGATTCGAAGTTTGAACAGTATCCAACTTTGTTTGATGCTCAGACTTGAGGAGGCAATTCATAAATTTCCAAACTTTCAAGGAAAACCTCGTAACCGGTCCAAGTTTCTAAAGCATTGGTACCAAACATCCAAAATGAAATTTTGGGGCCAAATCACTCGCTCATTTTCAATTGAAAACCCAAGTGGTGGCCATGCATAGGTCTTAACCCATATATCTAAGTTTTAGAACCCATCCATAGTTCCATATTGTCCCTTTTTTTGTACTGACCATTACAGTTTGGTTTTTATGAACTGGGATACTTCATCGAACTTTCCTTTACGTCCTATTTCTATGAACTTCCAAAATTTCAGGTTCTTTTTTTGTATTTTGGTTGAACTTGATCGTCGCTCTCATGTTGTTATAAGATTGAACATAACTTTATACTCTTCCGTAATGTATATATAAATGTTTTAGTTTACATGCATTCAAGTTAATTTGTTAATGTTATATTTTCAATTTTTTAGGGTCCAATAATTATAATTAGTTACAATTACAGCATGATTCTCGATCAATATCTCTGGAATATGTGGTTGATAAAACAGAGCTTTTGGGTGCTACTGTAGATAAATAGCGAAAGGGGCAGAGTACCATCTGCTAACAAATCGGCATTGTTCCCTCTATTATTGACGAATCAATAACTTTATATTTAAAATTTGTTAGCCACTGTAGAGCTACAATTATTCGCTTGAAGTGGCAGAAACACGACAAAGAAAAGGAAGAAAAGATCGCAACCATGCAGTCATGCACTAACTACATGAATCACATGGTATTTACACACTAATAATCCATCCTTTAAAAAAAAAACAAAAAAACAAAAGCACATACTAATATTATAATAAATAATCATGAGGCGGACTTTTAAACTTACTAATTTTAATACTATTTCTGTTCCAAAACTAAAGTTTTTTATCTCCTTAATCTATGAGACGAATAATAAAGTATAAATCGCAAAGAAGCCCCTTCAATCTCGCCTACTTATTCACTGAAGCTCCAACGGATCAGTCTTAATTAAACTTCTCCAAATTGGTTGGCACCCAGTCATAATCAATTAATAATCAGTCAAACTACAAAGACTAGCGTGGGGTATTATTGACAACAACTTCTCGTTTATGATAGCCTTTCATAACCGGTACGGATAATATATGCATGTGATTATATTTTGTCTCAAATTATGATGTGTTGTATAATACCGTGACATTAAAAAAAATGTTATTTTATTTATAAATAAAATAATACCAAAATATTATATGTTTGAACTTAATTTTGACGAAATAATCTTGTTTTATTTATGCGAAGCGTTCAATAAAAGAAAAAAAAAACATCTAAGACAGAAGATGTTATTCCAATATAATTGGATTAATTGCATGCATGTCCTTGTCTGAAAAATGCAATTAATTTTGATGGGAAAGCCAAAAGTTTGGAATGATTATTTCTTTGTCCAGCAGCGGATAGTGGAGATTGTACCACGGCCTAAAAAAGATGATATATAGTACTCTATTTGGGGCATACCTAAGTACCTGCTCAATCTTGCTATTGAGTATTGATAAGGGATTTTTCCTATCTCATATATCAACAAGGAAATAAATTACAGAAAAGGAAAAGCAAAAAAAAAAAAAAAGCATGTTATTGTATGATTGGCTGATTGCATATATTCTTACCCGTAAAGTCAGCCACAAAACACTAATAAATACTTGGTTTACGTGATAAAATTACTCGTTGAATTAATTTGTTCGCTTAAGCCTGTGGCTATGGTATCAGATCCTAACATAGGCATAGGTCATTTTTAACTATAACCTATGTTTAAACCATGGTATGAACAACCTTATAAAAAAATGGCATAAATGATTAAGATTACGTCAACAACAAGATTAGTGCAAGTGTTAATCTAAAATTTCTAAATGTGTGTAAGAAGTAATTTATGGTATTTCGAAACAGATATGCAGGTTTGTAATGTGACATATGGTATGAGTAATGTGTGTACTTAAGATGGTTACCTTATGATTATGTACCAAATAATTAGGGATAGTATTTATGTATAGAACACCCTTTTTATTGCTCCTCAGGGATCCAAAGTTCACGGGCAAAAAAGAACCTTGTCAAAAGACAGATGAAAGAAATCCCATTCCCTGATTGAAAGATATTTTTTAGGACTACCACTAAAACATAAACTAAAGCAAATTAAGTGTAGATAATCTTTGTTAATCTCTAAAGTTGAGGCACGGATAAAAGTGTTCCCAAGTTAGAATAGCCATTTCATAACTGATGAAGTTGGCCGAAATCCTATTCGGATCCAAAGAGAAATATAAGAGGTCCCAAATCTGTCTAGCTTTTGTACAGAAGACCTGTGTGCAAAATAAAATATTGTACCAAACATGTACGTTAAAATTAAAAAAAAAAGAATTTTAGAAAAAAAAAAAAAAGGAAAGAGTTTAAATATATATTTAATCCAAGTTTCCTGAATAGAACAATTCCAACCTGAACAAAAAAACTGAAAAAGCAGCTTCCTGGAAAGAGAACGTGCTTCTAAATCCAAGGATAGATATAACAAACAACCAAAGAATGATGCAAGACATTACCCTCTCTAGGCTCACGAGCACCCCGTCTCAAAAAAACAAAATTGCCCTACTTTGATTCCCCCGATTTTATTATTATTATTATAACCCGTCACGATTTACTGTCTCTCTCTTTTTCCCCTTCATTTAATTATTTATTTAAGTCATTTTTATCTTTACTCGAGGCTGCAGGGGCTGGCTGGAATCTCTTATATATACTCCCGCCGCTCTTTGCATTAGTTTTCTATATTATTTCTTCATCAGAAGCTTTCCTTACTTTCAGGACACCAGCAAATTAAAATCAGCTCATAAAGTGTAAGATAAGAGCCAGAGAGATACACACACATATATATTAATACTTATAAGAAATAATGTCGTCAGCAGCCGCAATGGAGATGGAGATGGAGATGATGGAGATTGATGATCCCTATGTGTTTGATGATTACTTCCCATCAATGATTGAGAGATTAGGGTATGAAGGGTTGATGAAGGAGCTGTGTACTGGGTTCTGCCTGTTGATGGATGTGAGCAAAGGCTTGATCACGTTTGAGAGCTTGAAGAGGAGCACTTTAGTACTTGGGCTTCATGACATCGGAGACGACGAAATCATCTGCATGCTGGCTGAAGGTGACATGGATGGAGATGGAGCTTTGAACCAGATGGAGTTTTGCATCCTCATGTTCAGATTGAGCCCTGGTTTGGGCGATCATCATCATCAACAACTACAACAACATGGTTGTTCTTCTTCCAAGCTTTTCATGGAAGACATGGGAATTATGAATGACATGTAACGTGTTACTTTTATGTTTGTTTTGTTTTTTTGATTATTAACTACACTGTTCATCTCTATCATGTTTCAAACACCAGTGTTATTTGCTTCTTTTTTTTTCTTTTTTTTTTATAATCTTTGTACCATGCATAATGGATTGATTTTCGATCATGAGAGTTGTTATATCATCATGATGGAATTCATGAATAATGTTGCTTAGTCTAATAAAAGGAACAAATGTTCTCTCCCTATCTCTCTGGATATTTTCTTTGTTCTTTCTGAAGGGCACTGATGATTCAGAGTGCATGTATATATATATGCTGCATGCTCTGAATTAATAAATTTGTCTTCATTTATATACCTGCAGTGTTGTGCAGTTTGAAGGCTGTTTCAATGTTGATTGATCATTGAATTGAAAATAAATATACTAAGATTTGTTAAATGATCCCGTGATATCTCAGTTATGTTTTTGTTCAAGTTGGCTTTGTAATTTACTCACTCATATATTCCCTGCATATATGGCCAAATGTAGTATAGCAGAGAAAGAAGTTTGGAATTCCTGACGGATCAAATGATATATAGTTGAAGTAAAGCGTGTTAAAAAAAAACAAATAAGAAGAAGAAGAAGGTAAAAAGGAAAGATTTTTTTAACAACATGATGACAAATATCTGATTTGTAGTTTTATATCACGAAATGCACTGTTCGCGTATGGGCGCAGTAGGATGAAAATCCTGATCACTGGAAGATGAATACGACAGTTCTGTAGTAAAATTCCATCGAAATGGCAGAGTATTCCATAACCATTTATAGTTAAACCAACCAAAAAAAAAAAAAAAAAAACAAAACAAAACACATATGAATGCCAATGCCTCCTTCTCTCCACCACTTGAAAATATGGTAAACATATTGATCCAACAGACAAAAACTCGACAATAGCATAACATAATTGATCTTCATGTGAGGTAAAAAAACAAAAAAACGTGTGTAGTTCAGGAACCGATAAGATGTAATCAATTTCATGCTACTTATATGTAGTTATATATATATATATATATATATATGTATATTATATCTACATATAGTGCATATATACGGATTAGCATGCAACACTTGTGAAATGCAAAGACACAGCAGGGGGTCATCCAACACTCGACAAGTCATATCAGTGTGTGAATAAGATGGGAATCTCTGAATTGGAAAGGATGTTTTGGTAGGGTATAATGTAGGTCGTTAATTATATGATGCATCCAGAATTCCTGAAGGGCCAGAAGCGAAGAGAGTTATATAGTATATAATATGTGAATCTTTTTGACAATTATCTAACACAGTAGAGGACCCCCTTTGTATCTTACTCTGGCCGCATCTGGTGTCTCTCTAAAGACAATATTGAAATCCGAGCATATGTTGATAGCGAAAACTTGGTGTGAATTCTTGCTTGAAAGCGATCTTCCTCAGCTGCATACATACAATACAAGTGGATCGATCCGACTGATTTCTGATTTTTTTTTTTTTATATCTCATTACATTCTCAGTACGTGTTCGATTAGTTTTCACTCCTTACAGGAAAGGATTAGACGGGTAACACAGCTCCGATCGAACAGCCAGAAAAAAACCTCCGAAAGATATGTTTCGGACGCCCCTTTTTAGTTTTCCTCCACTTTTATGTATTTGCAGAGTCGACGTTGTATATATTTGCAGAGTGTTCAATATCGACGACAAGAAATTAGTAATAGACATTTTATGCTACGAACGCAAAAGAATGTTCTTTCGTCTTGAGATAAAAATTGTAAGTGTATTAATTGCCTGCAGGCTTGCTGTTGCAGCGGGAGGATGAAATGCTGTAAATATTTAGGCATAATGCAGTTGAACATCCAGTTCTGACAGACAACATTTTATAACCTGTTCTTGACATGCATGGCTGAATAAACTAAACTACACAGTAAGGGAGGTGATTCATGAGTCATGCCTCCACCTCGGACTACAAAAATTGTGACGTGCATTAATATGCTACGTTCCAAAAGCAAAAGTAAATTTATAAGTTTTGTCTTTTGTTCCAAGGCTTTTTTTTTTTTTTTTTTGTAACATTAACTAAAAACTACTCAGATACTTGTTATCAAGGAAAAAAAAAAGAAAAAAAACCTACTCAGATATGCATGTTTGAGAAAATTATGGCAACAATAATCATTTAGCTTGCATTGGCTCCAGTTACAAAACTTTTGAATCGCCTCTTGGATCCAAATCCCATTCTGATGAAAAGCTTCATATTAATTTGACTCAAAATAATTTTTTTTAAAAAAAAACCAAAAAAAAAAAAAACTACGGTTTCCCACAATTAATTCATCCGCCTGCCGCCGGTCTAGAGGCTGGCGGTGGTTAAAGAGTTTGACGATAACACTGTGTATTGCATTGATACCTTTATACAATTATATGATACTTCACAAATATGAAAATTCATCTATAACCCTAACGGTAATAGGAAATATATATACAATCATACGTTTTCTATTTCGGCTCAAATTACTGATTCCTAATGCCCAACTTGCATTACACAACATATGAAATATTGCGACAACAATTTATGTTATGATACATCAACATTCCTCGAATTTTCTTTTTGTGTTACATACATTTCGAAATTACGCAAAAGTATCCACTTACCAATCAACACCCGGTTCAGGCAAATCATACTCGGTAGTAACCAGTCGATACTCGAAAGCAGAGATAAGATCTATAACCAGCTTTGAGTGTTGGGTTACCTTTTCATGGACATTGTCTAGTTTGGAATGAACTTTAGACACAGATTCATTGATTTAAACCAACAGCCTATTCTGTACCAAAGCATTCCCTGAATTAAGGAAATTTTCACGCTTAAGAGAGCATGCATCTTTCTGAAAAGGTAAACACGCGCTTTAATCACCGTAGAATAGATCGAGGGAGGTTCAAACTCCCATTGTTTGCTTGTCATGCTAGATTCAATCCGATAGCTTATATACAAGAGAGGCTAACTCTTCAAAATAACCTAAAAAATGACATCCATCAAAAGGCCTAAGCCCATATAGCCTCGGCCTGCCCAAATGATGTTCAGCGGTCTCTACCCAATTGTAGCTGTGGCCCATGATTCAAAGGACCCGCGACCAGTCAATCATGCTATCCTTACCTTTCAACCAGCCCCTTCGATTCCGCTTCTGCAGCAGTATATAATATCGATCCCTTACTTGATCCCTACAACTCAATTTGTTTTCCGGTGATTGTAAGAATCCGCGAAATACTGCCTTTTCTTCTTCTTGTGTTGTTTCTGAAGATCATACATTCCAGAAAAGACACTCGCACTTGCGTTTGCATTTTCCTCTTTACACATAATAATAAATAAATAAAAAGAGCTTGTGTTTGCAAAAAGTCGAGCAAATTCATTCACCCCAAAAATTCGTATGAAGTATTCATGAGTAGAGTTCGTTCTCGTTAGATCAAATTCCTCGGTACAGGCCACTGTATTTATGTTTTTCCATAACATGTCGATACGTGGGCGGTGGGCTTCGATTCAGCAGATTTACGGTAGCAACTATGGCATGCGGATAGATGGACCTCCCTTTTATGGTTTAAGCCAAAATGGAAATGCTGATGGGCCTTTCATCTGTATTGAGCTTTCTATTTGGAGCCCAACTTGGATTTCTTGAAGGTTGTAGTCTTGTCGTTTAAACTTTAAAGTATTAATTCTAAAATAATAACCAAAGTAGTTGTGGTGGAGTGGAAGGATTCTTTCCACCCTTAATCATAAGTTGAGGTTTCAAACTTCACCATGGGCATGAAACAACCTTAAATACTTTGGCTAACTGTTCTATCCATCGGGGTGCCTACAATTGAGCGGGCTAACTGTTTTATCCATTGAGTTGCCTACAATTGAGTGAGAGGATTAGTCATTGTTGCCGATGGTGGACACCCTGCAAATATGAAAAAAAAAAATGATTCTAAACTAGTAGGAATATTATTGTAAGGTAAAGAGTTTTCACCATTTTATTCCATTTTTAATTTTTATTTTTTATATATATGTATGTCTTCTTAAACGTTGAAAACCTGAGGTTTCTTAGTCGTCAAAGAACCGAACTATTTATAGTGAAATTTGCTTTGTCGTACACATGCTGCTCTTTTTCTTTACTTCCGAATAAGTTTCCAAATATACATACACCAAACAAAAAGATTTTGTGACAAAAAAAAAGCTCAAATTTATGTGCGTACATAGAAATGAAAGTGAAAATTGAAGCCTCAAGGACTTGCGGATGAAAGCTATTTCTCCTCAAAACACGAACCCCAAAAAAAAGAAGCAAAAGTCGTAGATTCATCAGTAGTAAGTCATGCGTATGGATAGAAATGAAAGAATAAGTGAAGGTGTGACACAAAGTAGTTCACAGAAACTGTGTTTTGCGAATGATATGTTTATGGCGCACAACTTGTGGTTCATTCTCGCAACATTTTGGCCATCAAAATTTTGCAGACTTTAAAATTGGTTCCACAAATAGAACGCCCACGTTATTCAAAGGGTGGGTCTCACACCCCATAAATAGCCTAACTTATGTCACCGCACAACATCAATTTGGCTTTGGAACTTCAAAACTTGACTCCCTATTAAGTATTAACCAAAAGCACCCGTTATCTTTCAAGTCTTGATACAAAGTACCCACCACCACCCCCTATCCACGGTTATCACTGCCCCCACTCCCCCTCCTTCCTTAGTCCACATAAATATATACCATCTCCGTCCCAAAAAAATTAGTCCACATTGAAATTTCAAATTTTTCCTTAAAACAGTACAAAAGTCAAAACTGAATATGAACTATTTTTGTGAAACGGGAGAGTAAATACTTGCCAATTTGGTAACTAAGATTGTCAACATTATATAATTAACTTGATCCTGGTCTTAACTAGAAAAATGACATGTTTACAGGATAAAAAGCTTTATTAATGTTATTACGTGTTTTAATATAAAAACAAAGCATGATTTGATTCTCTTTGTCCATCACAAATTTAGGTTTTGCTTCAGAAACTAAGAAAAGAACAGAAACGAGAAAAGATAGGAGGTTCCATTTTCCCCATCCGGGGGGTCTTAACACTCATTATTACGTGTATTTATTTTGTTTGAATTATTCTATGAATTTTATTTAACTACTTGTTAGTGTAGATTGTAGTAGAAGAAGAAGCCCACACCGCCCACAGGAATCAAATTATAGGCTGTGGTGAAGCCAACTCGGCTGAGGCAAGATATCCATGTAAGCAACTCAGATTCGATCAAATGCCTCATTAATGGTTCCAGCATCCTCCACCTAGGGTATCTTCACATGGGCTGCTTTCCCCTCTTCTCCCCCACCATGTAAAATAGTCTTCCTTCTTTCTTTCTTTTTCTTTTTTTTTTTCTTGAAAACGATAATTTTCTCAATCACGGATATTCTATTTTATTGATCGAGGTATGGAACAACTTGTTGTCTGAAGATTTTAGTAATATATATATGGGATTGCCCCTGATTTTCTTCTTTCCCTTCTCGTAAAATGAATATAGACAATACATGACGTTAATCAAAGGAGAAAAATTGACAAATCGATCACCTGGTACAAAGTCAAAATTGATAGTCAAGAGATGAAAGGTAACACTATATAATCATTTTTTTAGTCTAAGTACAAATGAAGAACAAGATTAAACATTTTTACATTTTAAGTTGAATGAGGTTGGATGAAGATCCAATTTAAGTAAAGTATGTATATGTTCCGAAACCGAAACGCGGTTCCTGTTACTTGGCTTCCATGTAAGGAGGACTTGGTTTGTGAAAGAATGAAAAAGGAAAAGGGAAAGTATTTGATGTGGATTTCCGAAACCTATCCATAACGTCATCTAGCTTAGGCAATATCCTGCCTTGGTTAAGCAAATCCGGTCATGTTTTGTTTTGGGATAAGTTTATTTGGAATATATAGCCCTTTTCTTTTTGTTATGTTACCGGGTTTGAGGTATATCTTTCTGCCCTTTTTTGAGCAAAAGTTTCCCATAAATCAAGATAAACATTAGTAGTCCAATTATGTCGAATAAAATAAATAGGGCACCACCCATGCTCCCAGTTCAAAGTGTTCAATTCTCCAAGACAAGAGAAAGGATATGAGGATAAAACCTTCGCCGAATGCAACGTTTTCAATCGTCAATCTGAAGCTCCAAGTCAGCATCGGAGGGCCGGATGGGCTTCACGTGGTACAATCCCTTATGTGGCACAGCGCCTGCCATGTCAGCATAACTCTTTTCCGAATCTCAAATTTCGACTTCCCCCAGCAGTCATCGTGTGGTGGTGATCATCACCCCCTCATCAACGACCAAAATAATCACCAAAGTGTATATAATTTTGGAATTGAAAACTGAAAAGGGGATTTATGCATTATACAATTTATTCTAATAATTTGATAAATAAAGTAGGGAAAGCGAGGGGAAAAATAAATAATCATTATTCATTAGTATGTACATGTACATCCCCTCCAAAATCCAAATGCAACGATGCAAGTGTTATCAAGTATCATCAACCGAAAGCAGCCCTACTTGATTCATAAACATGAAGGCAATTTTGTTTTTCTCTTTTTTTATTTTGAGTCAGGGCAATCCCAAAACTATGAGCATTTGTAAACCCGCAATTGATCAAGATAATAAAGTTTGTTTAATATTATCTCCGTCCCAAGAAAATAATTTACGTTGAATTTTAAAATTTGTACTAATATTAATACAAATTTAAACTATTTTTTTTAAACGGCAGAATAGTGATTTTTGAGAACGTTATGGAACGAGATATGAACAAATTAAATGTATACTTCTTCTCATTTCTATCCCCACCAATACCATACGAATTGCGGAATTGGAATCGAGAGTTGAGAGGGCGAAGCCCATCGGCCACCATATGTTTAGTGTTATTAATTTATGTGGTAAACACAACTATCAAATCTTCCCTTCGCCTTTGCCACATCTTTCAATCTTTCATGATATTCCCACTCATGATTACCACAAACATAATTTAATCACTCCCTATTTTATTCACTATTGCAGTTTATTTATGAATTAGACTAACTAATAATGATATTATCTTCATTTGCACGTCCTTAATTCAATCTAAGTCCTTGCAACTTGCAAGTTCCATCTCTCACCAGAAAGGTGATTGTGGACTGGTTCTTCAGCTTGACTTAATCTAGCTTTACACGATGTTTACATTCTTTTAATCAAATATCCTACACAGGAAAGTTTTAAAGGCGATACTAAGACAATGTATCTAAAATTATACTATTTTACAAGACACAATTTTCAACACTTAAGGATTGTTATTGTCCCAAAATTCAATTTATTCTATTTATTATGAGTTATTTTGTATATTTTATTTGTAAAAGTCGTTGATTAATTTTTTTCAGATGTACCCTCCAACAATTGTTATTTCTCCCATGTATGTGAATATATTTAAGTAACAAGGTGAATTCAACAAGGGTAACCTAATTGTGGTTTTCCGGTTTTATGAGTGAATGACGTTTTTTTTATATATATAACTTATATATAAATAAGATTGGAAAAAAATATTACTAATATTTTCTTTTCCACCAAAAGCAACAACTAAAAAAAAAAAACCTGAACTCAATTAGCACCACATCAATGAATCAACTTGTATTATGAAAATGAGTAGATTTGCAATTTTATAATATGACCAATAGATATTTGTTCTCATTTCTTAATGAAGAAACCATGACCAATAATCTTAAGCAGGACTTAAAAAAAAAAATCAAGAATCATATAAACAAAAAGAAAGTAATTTCATACCAGAAGAAACTGGACCCCATGAGATTTAAAAATGCCCCATATATTGTGGCTTTGGTGTAAGCAGTCTAGAACTCCCACCTTACCGCCCACACTTTTGAAGAAAACATATACCAAATGCAGCAAAACCACCCAAAGGCCAAACCCATTGTATAAATACCACTTTACCGTTTACGACTGAAAAACTAGATTGATCAAATTTTGAGGAACCAAAAAAAAGAAAAAGGCAAAAAAACAACAAAAACAACAAAAAAACCCAGAAATTTGGGGAAGGAAAAAAAGAAGAAAATGGAGAGAAGCTGCGAGCTCTGTAGCAAACCGGCCAGGATGTTCTGCGAATCGGACGAAGCGAGATTGTGTTGGGAGTGCGATGAGAAAGTCCACAGCGCCAATTTTCTGGTGGCCAAACATTCAAGATGTCTTCTTTGTCATGTTTGTCAATTTCCGACGCCGTGGAAAGCTTCCGGGACGAAACTCAGCCCAACTATTTCCGTCTGCGAAGGCTGTTTTGAAAATGGTAATTACGCCCGGAGTAATAATAATCCCGCCGCCATTAGCTCCGGCAGGGTAACGACGATGACGACCAGGAGGCCTCGGCATCATCTTTCCGATGAAGATGGAGATTTTGACCGGGGATCATCAGCCGGAAGCAGCAGTGATGACGACGAGGAAGAAGAGTGTTTTAGCGACGAGGAGGAGTATCGAGGAATTGGGGAGGAAGAGGACGGAGAAAATCAGGTTGTGCCCTGGACTTCTTGTCCGTCCGGGCAGTCGCCGTCGGTTTCCTCTGCGCCGCCTATGACCACCTCTTCTTCAAGCAGTGAATATTTTTCCGGCGGAAATGATGTTTTGAAGCGATCCCGGGATGACCATTTTCAGGAGGACTGCTCTGATGTTCGTAATTACCATCTCCAATTGCTCGATTCAATTCCTTCAATTTCTTTTTGTAATCACAGAGATAGTTTTGTTCATTTATTGATATTGGGTTTCTTTTGTTGGGCAGGACGAGGATGATGATGCTTGTTGTTCCTCCCAAGTGAAGTCAAATCTGGCTGCTTTAGAAAAAACAGAGCTAATAGCATCTTTCAGAGCGTCAAAGATGGCGAGAATAGAACACCATCCAGGGCTCAGGAGGAGAATGCAACTTATGGGTTCCTTTATGGATTTCCAAGAAAACACGGCGGCCGTCACCGGCGGGCATAATCGTAATGCGCCGGAAGTTATTCGGAGGATTTCCCATCTAAACAGAGAGGCAGCTTAAATTGAGTAAAAAGATGCAGAGTACTATTACTACTACTACTACTACTTTGTTATCACTTTACACACACTGATTTTCCAGCTAACTTCAACAATTTTATTCAGATTCAATTCTTCATCTTTTTCTTTCTTTCTCATCGAAATTGCTGACTATTGGATGATAATAGCTTGCAAGAAACTATCTGTTCTATTTCTTTCCTCGTTATAGATAGTTACAACTTGCTACAATTGTATTGATTATATGATTGTTGAGTGTAGTATTTCAAATTTTCAATTCAAGTGCATTGTCTTTTTCTTTTTTTTTTTTGTGACTTCCTCCATCTACTTACCAAGTTATCGTCGTACTACTAGTCTACTACTACTATCCAACGAGGGTCACAAAGAATTTACTAATTTTCGAATTTCAATAGCCTCATTGATGTTTCTTAATTCTTATCAACTAGGCTTTTACTCCAAACTGACCAAATTGCTGACTTCACACTTAAAACTCAAAACTGTTCTAAATTCGGGAACATTGTACATTCAATGAATGACAGAAACCAAAACTAGAGAGACTAAAGAGGAATAATTCCATCTGGCAGATGTGAGCCCAGTGCCCACGCTACCTCCCATTCATGTTTCCTTGTCAACTGGGCTAAAACACCTTGTGGCCGATATCCAGTCTTCAGAGGTCTTGATACTTCAATTTACGCTCCTGTTAACCACTTCTTGTGGCCAAAAATCCAAAACTTTGGTTGTTTACATTCAATGAATGGAGATGGACGCAGTCAAGAAGTGATGGCTTCACCACATAATGTCGTGTATGGTCTATGATATTAAACAAAAATCTCGTAAATGTAAGACGGTCAACTTTATCTGGTGTAAAAAAAACAAAGAGATAAAAAGCAGAATAATTTGTCCAACCAAAATATGTGGCTATTTACCACATTTTCGTTTATGCACTCTTTGGCCATGTGTATGTTGCGTTTTAATCAATTTAGAAAAAGCAAAGCGCAAAATAATGCCGCCTCAACCACATGTTTTACGCGTACCACATGTTTTAATCACATTTTTTGCTACCTGTTTAATTTTTGAAACTTATTTGCCCGTTTGAACCCTCTAATAATTAAAGACTCCCGTTCCACTAGAAGTGTCCTCGTCCGTCCGATGATTTACTTTCCTTTTTTGTCTTGTTTTGGATCAAAATTTTTGTCGCGTGCCGCTGAAAAGCCAGCCGATGATGTATGAAAGGTTAAGAGGGCAGGCAGGGGGGTTTAATAGGGGCTCATGGGCGAGGGACCATCCGGTTCTAGTTTTAGGCGTTTTTGGCATATTCAATTGTGCTTATCAACATTACCCACAACATTATTGGGGTCTTGGCCGTCTATCCAGACAAGATTTAAGAATCATGTGGTTATGCAGGATTATCAGAGTTTAAAAACTTGATGGTTTGGTTGCAGGAGATTTTCAAAGAGACTAATCCTAATTCCTAAAACAAAAACCCATTAAACAGAGTAATAATGAGTAATGACATTCATTCATTTAGGTCCCCTGAGGGACTAAGGAAAAGGATGGATACTCGCTTACGAGGAGTGTTCTTCGAGGAAATAGTGCCCGAGGTAAACAAGTTCTATATCTGTGGGCTACATATAGATTTATTGATACTTCTTATCCTATCATCGGCCCACACCTGAAGAAGTCCAACGATTTTTCAGCGTACTAACATGTTCTCATCCTATTTCATGAATAGGAACACACAATTTCCAGAATGACATCGAGGCCTAGTGGATTGACCGCAGACAGGAGTCAAGATCAGCCTACAATTTAACCAGAAACCCCAAAACCATCTTATTACTTACTCCATATAAACTACATTTCTGCCGCCCCCCACCCAACCAAAGTGACACATAATCTGTGACAAGCGGTATGTTACCAGTACACTTTCTTTGTGGAATCATAAACACTTGTGAGGCACAAGAAGTGAATAAAAAGGAAGCCTTGGAACTTCAGACAGCAAGAAAGTCATGAGACTAGAAACACAAATGTGGATCAAGACTACTATTGCAGACAGGAACATACAAATACCAAAGACACGAGGAAATTTAGTCATGAGTTTCATACATCATAAGCCCCAATGGAGTGATTCACATATCATAAGGAGGGCCAATGACAAGTACGGTTACTACCAAAACAAATCCATAGAGATACAGCAAGCACCCTTTAACCCATGAAGCAATGAACATGAGCTAAAGGAGTAACTAGTGCTCATTTACATGACATGAATCAGACATCAACCAAGTCAATTCAGTCCCAAAAGCCCTTTTCTCTCTAGTACGCCGCGAAGTTCTACACAGTGGTTACTGCGAAAATAGATAGCATGAAAAAGAAACATAAGTACAGAGAAAACATGCACCAGATTCCCTATAACTACATTGGAAAAGTGTAATGAATCTACACATTAGACTGCTTTACGCTTGACATGAGGACAACAAACGGAGAACACAAGACCTACCTGAAGCTGAAGAGGTACACCATGACCAACAATCGTTCAGGAATCTGTAACAGGAAGAAACAATTGTGTTGCTTAGATGCATAAAAGAAAACTATGGATTCCCTATATATCTCAACCAGAGTTACAGAGTATGCAAGCCTAGTTCAGGTGATAGTTAGAGCTTAAATTACTAACAGATACAGGTATAAAATTACAAACATATTCACCAGTCTCCTCAATCACATGTCTCAACGCGAAAAATGTTTTGTTCATATGCAGTTTTATTTTGCTATAAATTGTCAGCAAGACTCCAGACACATAACGATTCTTCAGTTTACAGAGATTTCCTGCGACCAATTTCATACTTCATAGTTTCATTTCATACATCTCTAGTGGAAGATTAGATCACACGGACAGGACATTGCATCCAAACCCCAGTTCAATAAATACAACACAGTATATTCTTCAAGGAACAGGGACAAAACACAGGCAAGGAGTCAGGAACAAACACCCTGTAAGTAACAACCCAAATTACCAGCAGGCAATTTCTTATCTTATCTTTATCCGGCAACTACATTTCCTGATAATAGGCTCTAGTACCAAGATGCATAATACAACGTTGCCACATACCAAATCAGACAAAGAAAACTAATTCCCACCGACACTCTAGTTACTCAACCCAACGAGACAATATAATTTCACCTTCAAACAATTGCATTTGCGAAATACTAGAACACTTGAAATCAGCTATGTATAACCTGATAAATCATGGCTTTCATTTTGAAACTGGAGGAAAGGAATAAACAACTTAACCTTTGCGATCTTCAGTAGAAGCATCATGATACTCCTGATCTTCCTCATCCTCTTCAGCCACAGAGGCAACAGAAACAACTGGAGCAGTTCCACCTTCTTTCTCATCAGGATACCTCACAACCACGACGGGACAAACACAATGCCTGACGCAGTAATCACTGACGCTTCCAAGCCTTCCATCACTTCCCCTTCTGGTAGCCCCAAAGCCACGGCTCCCCATAATCACAGCACTTAGCCCAAGCCTTTCTACCTCCAAGCAAAGCCTCTCCTTCATATCATGATCTTTAACAATGTGTATCTTGAAAGGAATTTGGGCCTCGACAAGCGGCTGAGCCAGATCAGAAGCCTTGGTGGTGGTAAAAGTATCAAAATCGTCTTCGAGCTTTTGCTGAGACTCCTCGTTCTCCGTATCAACAATTGAGAGGTCAACGGAGCCCCAATCGGCACCGTAGAGAACGGAAGTAGGACGGACGTGGACAAGGATGACGGCGTCCCCAGGACGGAGGTACTGGTGAACCGCCCATTTGACAGCGAAGGCAGACTCGTCGGAGAGGTCGACGGCGATGCCAATCCGACGCTGAGCACCGGCTGTGGGAGTTTCGGCGGAGGAAGGAGTGGTAGGGGGAGGGAAACGGGGGGAAGAGGAGCGGACTTTGATTTTAGAGAGGGAAGGGAGGTCGGCTTCCGCCGTGGTGGTTGGATGGTGGTGGTTTTGATTTTGCATCGTGGTGGTCGTCGTCGGAGGAGGAGGGGGTTAGGGTTTTTGATTGTTGATTTATGTTGACTTTGTTTGGGTTTTTCCTTGATCGTTGACTGATTTGAGTTTATAAAATGTAGGCGTCGTTCGCGGAGGAATGAAATTAGGAGGAGGAACAACTAGGGAAGAGGAGGAAAGTGAAGGTTGCTTTTTCATTTTCGCTTTTTTGTTTTTTTTTTTCCTTCTTCTTTTAAGGATAGGAGTGTAGGACGGTGGGGGCAAGGCAACACAACTGGGAAAGGGGATCGCAAAGGAATATTTTTATTTTAATGCTTCAATCTCCTTTTCCTTATCCATTACGCTTTGAATATTATTTTTTTTTATTTGGGCTTTTGGCATCAGGGCAATCCAGAAGTTTCGTTTCATTTGAATGGGCTTACACCAGAACTCAAGCCTGTTAATGGAAAAACAATATCTGCCTAAAAAGACTTGGGATATGGAAACCAATGCTTTAACGGAAGAGGACGCATCATTCACCTCCGGCAATGTCCTCTTGCTTATAGGAGCTTTCATTCATAACTATTGGTTACTAGAAATTTCACATATCAAAAGGCAGGGTAAGGAAGTTACCGACTCTTTAGCAAAATTAGATTTATCTAGTGCATTGGGGTTGCATATTTTGTTGGTTCCCCAGATATAACTTTAGCTAAACTATCTTTTGACTACCTCCCGAAGTGGTCTCGATATCTAGTCTTTTTGTAAGTTAAGCGAAAGCTTCCCCAATATAAATAAATAAATAAATAAATCAAAATGTGTCTAATTTTAGCTCTGAACAATTCACGTTTAGATAATAATTTGTGCAGGAAAATACAAAAGAAAATTTTAACAAGTAATGAAGTATTCCCATTCATATTTGCAACTTACTTTTAGGAATTTATTATTTGTTTGAAAGTTATAGAGGAAACTTAAAATTCAATCATATTCTTTCTTGTAAATTTTCTTGTCAAATTTTTCGTTTGTGTATCATCACTCTTTACATTTATAATGTACAATTAACTTACTAACCAATTTAAGCACATTCACCTTGAAACCAATCTATAATAAATGAGTCCTCAAGATCTTTACATACTAATTACAGCCATCTAACAAACACAATGTAAGGTAAATAACTCTTACAAATTTATTTTTCATTCTCTCTATGAGGTAAAAAGGTATATGTACATAGATGCAATGGGAGTTGTTGATGAAAAAATGCCAAAAAATAACTAATAAAATGCTGTATCGCACTCTTTCAGTCTAAACAATTAAAAGATATTGAATTTCAAGATTTGTAATTACAGTAATATAAACTTTAAAACAATCATTTGATGCTCTTGCATGGATCCTAGATTTTTTAATTATAAAAACACTGACAACCTTGCACCATCAAGTGGACGTGCCGGAGTGGTTATCGGGCATGACTAGAAATCATGTGGGCTCTGCCCGCGCAGGTTCGAATCCTGCCGTCCACGATTCTTTCCTCCTCATTTTTTTTCCTTTCTATTTTCCTCCTTTTCGGTACAAGAAAATGATTGTTACATTCGCTTTGTTCCATTATCATGGCTATTTCATTTCCACATCTTTATGCAGATGATAAGTTTTTGAATGCGCCATTTTGATTCGTTAGTCTTAATTCCCTTCTTCTTTTAAAGTTTGTTTATCCATGACAAAAAGCAACACAACACTAGCAAACCTGCCCGCCCCACACTGCTGCTGAGTACTGATACTACTGCAAAGCCCCAAAAGCAGCATCCACACTTACTGAACCCCTCTTGCCCTTTGGCTTTTACCTCAAGACTAATGACAATTTTGTACCATTGCACATTAATGTACAAAACAACAAGAAGCCTTCATTAAGTAGTACACTAATTAATTTGTAACGAAGCTCAGAACACAGCCCATTTCGTGTTGTTTTGAAACCACATTGTAAAGCAGTAATTTGGACTCTCTATATGAAGAAAAGTTCTCAGATGCAATCTTTGTTTGGCAGCCCTTCATAGAGTAAGGAAACTATTATAGGCAACATCTTTTATAGATCATCCAGAAAAAAGTTGCAGAGAGTTCAGACTTCAGAGAGATCATCACCCCTTTCCTAGGGTTTTGAAAAAAGTGCAGTAACACCACAGTACACTCTCTGGCTTACTGTCCAAAAATTAACTCTTAAGCTTATTTATCAAAGTTAAAGTTTACAGCTTTTGACTTCTGTAAGAAATCAGTCGTTAAAAAATGCTTCTGCACATGATCCCACATTCCCAGTATACATTTGTCACACTTTATTTGCTTCATACTATCATGTTAATTTTAAGACCACCAAGAGGAATCTATCACAAATGTAACATGAACAGACGATTAAGCAAAACTACTCATTTAGATCCTATGCTTGAAAGGAGTGAATCCCGAGTAGAAACTTCACACTGGATGTAAGATCACTAAAGCTGAACAGTATTACTCATATAAAACAGGCCACTGACACAAATGAGGGAAAGAGAAAGAGAGATACCAAAAGACTTTAATTCAGAACTACCAGAATCTGTATAGCTCCATTTCTTTGGAGGACAGTTTGATAATAGTTAGACAAACAAAAGGGCAACTAAAAAGTTGTGTTTCGGTTCTTGATAACATGCATTTCACCAAAACGTAAAAAAGACAAACTTCGAAAAGAACAAAACTAAGACAACCCTCCAACTACTGCATTTCTTTCTTTTGTCTACTGGTATCTAATAAGAAAGCTTCAGGGACAGATCAATGGGACTGGTGGCGCCAACAAAACCAGCACCACCGCTAGATGTTGTTCTGGTTGTGACGCAGGAAGCCGTATCACCACCACCGGACATCATTAGTGAAGCAACAGGAGAAGAAAACTCTGAACCATCGCCTAAAGCCAGCTTCTTTATCATCATCAGACCTTTTTCATCTGAATCCATTTCACTGTTTTTGCCATATGCCGGAAAAAACTCGTACTCCATGATGCAGCTTCCGGTTCCTCCGACCCTTGATGAACCTCCCAGCTTCCTTTGAACATTTACACCATCTACCATACCCTGTATATATTTTATATAAGACAAAAAAATCCATCAAACTCAAGCACTCAATAAAGAAATGCATGTCATAAGATTATAAAAAATCCTGGAAACATTGAAGGAAACAAAAGGGATTTAGGACGATTAGCCCTTTTTGTGAAAGTGTAAACTTAAAAACCAAAAAGACAAAGGACATCAAATATCTTAAAAGAGGGCACCTTGTCTGTGTGGCTAGCAAAATATGTACCACCAGCACTGAAACTGGCAATTTTCCCAAATGCTTGAGGTGTTCTCTCCTGGTTGTTTTGCCTGTTCCCAACATTGTATCCAACCGATCCAGAGGTGGGCATTCCTGGATTCATGTCTTTGGCTCGCTTACACATCACAGTTTGCCCTTCATAATTCCGTTTTTTCTGCAACCAGAAGGGACAAGAAACAGAAAAAAAAAAAGAAGCAAACGTTTAAGAATGGGTTTCATTTAAAAGGTAAAGACCCCATTTTTATGTGGTGGTGGGATGGTAAGATTGAATAACCTGGCAAAAACTGCAACGATCAGGGTAAGAGTTCATCACATTTGGAGTTGAAGAGAGCTCTTTTGAAGCCTCGCTCCCATTTGGAACACAATAAGAACTCCGATGGATATTAACATCAGGAACTAGCTGCCCTTGCCCATGAAACAATCCGACCCCCGGAATCCACAAGGCCGTAGCCTGCTGGTGGTTAGAGGGCAAACCAATAACCCCTGTACTCACATTATTAGTACTATAACCAAAGGCCCCATACTTAGCCGCCAAATGCAATGGAACAGTGGATTGCAAAACGGTGGAATCCTGACCAAGAGAAGCTGCAGGGATGACAGCAATCGAAACTCCGGGTGATGGTGGTGATGATGATGAAGGAGGAGGAACTTCTGATGAGGATGGAGGAACTCCCAACTTCAGACGTTCACGTTCAAGTTGCACCATCCCCATCCCTCTTTTCCTCTGTTTAGGCTTTCCTTGATCATTTGCCTTGAGTACCTTTTTCCGGGCAATGCCACGAGCAGTACTGAAATTACTCTGTTTGGTTGTTTTAGTTGTATAGTGAAGATGAAGGTTATGATTAGGTTGGAGGTGTTGAGGGAGAGGAGGAGGATGATGATGATGGTGATGATCTTCAGACAACATGAGATGGTTTGTGTTGTGATCATAGGAAGTGGCCTTTAGGACAGAAGCAGCCATTTTTATTTTTTTTTTGGTTTCTCCTGTGGAAATTGAGTGAGAGAGAAAGAGAAAAACAGAGAGACAGAGAAAAGTGTGCTTTTTGGAAGGGGGAACCAACCGGAATTTACAGCTGAGAAACGCAGATGGACAACATATATAGAGTGTAGAGAGAGCTTTGTGTTAGAGTCGAAAAGGCTTTGTGGGTTTTGCACGGTAGATATGCCTTGGGAAAATTAATTGCTAGGCTCACTCCCTTTTTCACTATTACCAGAACCTCTCTTTATTGATCATCAACAGCCATGAAGTACTAGCAAAATGGAATTAAAGGGTACAATTATTTTTCACTGTTTTTTATCATGGTAAAATCGGCAAATTGCAAACTTAAAGTACAATCTGCATGCTACTGTATTGTTAGACTCCGCATGAAGCAATAGGGGTGTACAAATTCAGTAAGGAACTGGAACAGTTCGCAGTTGTTGGGGTATGGTAGGCTTTAGACAAAATTAGTAACAAATCATCCACCTGGGAATTCGATTATTTTCGTCTTAAAAATTGACAGGAAGATGAAGAATCAAAGAGACAGTGGGAGTTTTTTTTTTTTTTTTGAATCATAGCTACCTATAGTAGTAGTACGTACTGGACGAGGGTATATTTGGATCTAGCAGATTAACATACATTGGAAACACGCAAATCAAAACTGCCCAATACCAAAAGGTAAAGAAACCATGCCTAGATGTGAATATTTTTACAATGTTTTGGACATTTAAGAAATGGGTATTAACCCATCATCATTTTCTGAATCAGCTTTGCAATTTGAGTATTTTTCTTTGAGGAGGGATGTGACATAGCATGTGGTGGATGAACCCAGATACTGAAAGCTGGGCAGCAAATGAATCCATCATATTCAGATCTTGAGACTAAAGATTTTGGTCATATGTAAAAATGAATAATATGTACAAGTAAGAAACGAAGTGAATCCGCCAATGGAAGAAATAGAAAGAGAGAGTAGGATTGTGAAAGATTTTCCCCCATATTTCAAAAAATGGAAAAACAAAGGACCGACCATCTCCCTCATTGGGAAATTCGTAACTAATACTGCCTTGTTTGGACTGCCATTACGACTTGCATAAGACAAAATACAAAACTATACTTGTCCTTTTCCTTCATGTGTCCCATTAATTCATTCTTGGTGTTAACTGGTTTGTATATCAAGCTTTAAATTTTACCCTATTCAAAAGAAGAGATTTTTCTGTTTCATGCTTTCACATTTGCATCAGTATTGAAACCTGGTATTGACTAAATTAGCCTAGTTAATTCAAATTCACGAGTGTCAGTTCATGAATTCGAACTCTAGTTATAATTAAACCGTTATAATCATTATTCTTATTATATACCACACGTATCAAGTAATTGTTGATTTTTCATGTTTAATTCAACGAATTTGAAACAATTGTAACACTACAATTATACTAAATAGTTGTACACATTTCAGTGTCATCACTAACATAAAATGTAGGCACGCTTAAAGTGGTCCCTTGTTTTGTTGTTGTATGGTAAATTTAAATCACAAACCAGAACACACAATATCTATGAGAAAGCTGTAGAGGTGGAGGGGGGAATAGGGATCGTTTGGGGGGAGGGGGTAGCAAGATAGATAGCACAAATCCCAATCATTCCATGCAGAGCGTTGATCTGCTTTACAGAGCACCCAGAATCCACCATTGTCTCCTCCAAAATAGTACTGCTTCACTTCGTAGTACTCTGCCCAAACGCATCCCCTCCTCACACTTGTCGGCTCTTCCCTCTTATCATTTATCTTCATTATTGGGTAGTTTTAACTTTTAAGTCTATAGTACTACGTTTGATTCTGTATACGCTATACGGCCTAAATTATCTAAGCAGTCCAATACTAATTTCTCCGAGTTTCTTTTGTTTTGTGTCAACCAGTGAGTAAACTAAACTGAATTTTCTCCTCTTCATATAGTTTAGAATGTTGGGATTTGATTATCCAGGACAATTTGGATCAAATCTGTAAGAGGATAAGATTTACTACGATCTATCTGCATACCACACTTTTTTTAGATTTCGGAATTGCTAAGACAATCCGATTAATAGTCTTTGTGTGTGTGTGTGTGTGTGTGTGTGTGTGTTTTCACTCTTTGCTACTAAGATTGATCTTTGGCTGTGGAAAAAAAGAAAATTAATTGCTTTACCAGTGTATATCTTCCCAAGAAAAAATAAAAAAGAAGAGAACCCAGACCTCGATTCCGACCAGATTGAACTTGGTTTCAACTTCCAACATCAATTAATCATGATGCTAGCTAGCCGCCTTACGTCCTTATCCAGCACTTTAAAGATCTTAATACTGCTCAAAGATTATTATCCTCCTCCTCCTCCTCCTCAAACATGTTTCCCAGGTTCATCCCCACGCAAAAAAAGAAAAGGTGATCAGGGACCACTCATACTATAATGATTCAAAATCCAGATTCTCTCTCTAAGCCTTCTTCATGATTTGGATTTCCTTTGTTTACCCTCGCAGATCCCAGATACATGTTGCACAGATTTTAGCATTATGTGGCAATTTTAGCATTTGGCTTTAAACTCCCACGATTTTTTGGCTCTGAGGACGGCTATTGGATTGATGGTGGCACATCATATTATTAGCATGAACCCAAATCAATTATGAAGAAAAAAGCTTACACTAACTAGCTACCCATTCTTTACAGTGATCCTAGCTACTCCATTTAACATGAAACTCCTTGTTTAAATGTTTTTCATGACACTATGGGGGGTTTTTATTAGCTTTTCAATTCCTGGCTGGTACGTTTCTGTTTGTCCATAAAACGAGGTGGGTTCCAGACTCTCTCCAGTAGTCTGTCTCGTTTCAATTTTTTTTATTTTTGTAAACTTTTGCAGGTGAAGGATGAAATATGCAGTGTTGTTTGTACCAGTTTCATGTAGGGTCAAGCTGGTAAAAAACTGTAATGATGCTTTTGTTATCTTTCTCATGATACAAAAAAGGAGAAAGGCAGAAGCCCAAAAGAAAAAAAAGAGAAGCTGTTTTAAATGTATAGATCTCTGAATCTGTAAGTGAGATATTGTCTGTGTCTTTCTCAGAGCAGTCAGCAGATTGCAGAACCCAGTACAAAAAAAGAAGTGAGGAAGAAAAAGGGATCTTAAGGCCAATGGGGTCGGTTTGCTATAAGTAGATAAAGCTTTCACGCTACTAGCAAAAAGGCAATGCTAACAGTTGCTCTAATTCCTCCTCTCCCTTAATGGCAACCTATAGGAAGGAAACTACTGCAATTTTCTGCTGCTCCACCACCACCATATTTCATTTCTCTCTTCTTATGCTTTTTTTTTCCTAAAAAAAATAAAATTAAAATGAATTAAATGCTTTATTGATTTGGGAGTGATGAATATCAATATGTATGAAAAAATTAATACTATTAAAGACTGTTTTCCCCTTCTCCAATTGGATGACGCGTATATGTGTCCTTCTTGGCCTTATTTTCATCAAAAAGATCTCTACATACTAAACTGATATGCCATCAAGTTAACCTCTTTCGGAGGGGGGACCATTTTGGGCTACCTCTCTTTGTAGTGTTTCGCCTTTTTGGTAAGTTGCAAACTAGTTGTCCCTTATAGCTAGGCTAGAGCTAGGCTTCTAGCCTAACTACATATAAATGATGTTACTAAGTGGTTCTCCAATTTGTGAAATTGGTTGCAACTTAGAAACTTTGAAGTATACGTTCAATGCAACATTGGAAATGAACTGGGCTAAAAAAATCCTTGAAAAGCACAACCACATAATCATTTTCTTCGACGGCAAGAAAGTAAAACTAGAGATCTTTCATTAACTTGGATCATAGAAGTATACAGAAAGTTCGGGATCAAGTCTTTGGATCATTTGTACATTCTTTACTCAGCTATTCTCTCCAAAAAGGCAGAAACTAACCTTGAACATTAACTTAAATAATTCCTGCATCCGCAGGGAAAAAAAACACAAAACAAAAAAGGACTAAAAGAACCTGGAGGTTTGATGAATACACATATACATTCTAGCTTACACCTGATCTTCAGGTAGCGAAGCCAAAAACATCTCTAGTTTACAAGATTGGCACTGTTTTTTGCATATGCCACGATGTGAGGTAGGATAAACGATGCACACAACATCCATTTACCTGGAGCAACAAGGCGAACTTTACGCACATCCACTTCGAAAGCCACCTCAGACAGAGCGATTCTGATGCGCTGATATATATGAGGAAAAAACAATAAGCAATCAACCACCAGGCACGGGAAGAGGTTACAATTTTTAGAAACCAAATTCTAACACTACGACCTGCAGAAATTGATTCTTATCTGTAAAATTCAAGTGTACCTCGTGGATGTCAAACTCAGGATCAGGAGCTTTTGAGAACCCGTACACATAAATTCTGGGTAAAGGGTGCTCTTTATCCTTCTGATGTCTTCGGAATATTCCCCTGAAGACATCTGCAACAATCGACAAAAGAATTATATCACTGCTTATGAATTAGTAATAAATTATATAACCAGGAAACTCATTCAGTAATCATGTAGGTGGCTAAACTCTTTGCCAGGAAATTAACCAGAATTCTTAATTCTCAGGCATCCAAGATTTGTCAGGAATTACTATCAAGAGTATGGACAAACCAAGAAATTCTGCCGCGTCATTTGGCAAATTCATGACTACTTGTGTTATTGGGCGAGCTTTTTCACTTGCAAAAATAGTGTCAATAAACCTCCTTCCGTCCATGTTGAAAACCTAAATAAAACAAGCTATATTAATAATGCTAACTTCACTCAATAGAGTCTTTAAGAGCTTTGAAACTAAAAATATCTTCATAAAGGAGATGATATACAACACACAGGAACAAGCACGAGAAGCAAAGTATCTCACAGGTGATCATTCTTCTAAGAAAAGCCACTGCAGGGCCTAACTACCAGATACTAATTACTAATGATGGCACAAGACTGAAAAAGTATCCACAACTTACACCACTTCGTAAGTACAAGAAGAGTTGGAACTTTAAAGTCAGGCAATAATGAAACGAAACCAATTGATTTTGAGTTCTTGTATAATTCACAGGTACCAACAGACTTTGAGTTTATCCAAAACTTATAACCATTTAGTATCATTCAACATGTATTTTGGATGGTATGATTAGTAGTCCAATGCTAGAATATGGCCATTCTGACAGCCCCACTAGTGTATAAAATCATGAAACTGATAATTAGGGACTTTCATTAACTCAATGTAGTTGAAACTTCGAGTGACACTGTCCTTTCATCCTTATTAAATATAAAGTTTCTTGAAAGAATTGAACAGAAGTTGCAACTAATTTTACAATTGTCTATAAACTACAGCTGCTAACTACTCTCTGAAAATCATGATATGGATTTTAGAATCATAGATGACATACCTAGCTATTATTATTTTAAATCCTTCCAGCATCCAGTGAAAATTTATAGGTGTGATCAATATGTAAATCAAAATCTTACTGTGTGGTGTCAAGGTACATTACACATCCTACACTTGTGTAACACTGTAAGTTGTGTTTCATTCGAAGCAACTGTTCTGAATAGTAAAAAGAGTGAAAAAAAGATCTGGACAAATATATCTTTCCCCAATAAACTCTCCGTGTAACAGTTTGACCTCACAGAACCACTGGAATAAGTCATCCAGAAGATTGACGTCATAAGTCCTAATCCAATACAACCCCTTCGTTAAGTAAGAGAAACGTTCATTGTTGACGTTGTTTGTCTATACAAAAATTTGGTCCAAAAGAAGCCATTTATTGCCCAAGTAATCTCCCATGATGTAAGATGGTTAGGACAAAACTAATGATAACCATACCTTGATCTTCCGCTCCAGTTTATTCAGCACACAGTTTCTTTCTAAGTAATCAACTGCACAAGGATTCAAATCATTGGCGTAAACACACTTAACTTTCCTAGCAGCTGATAGAGCTATTGGACCCACCCCAGCAAAGACATCACCTGAGAAAATAATAACCCCATGAATGCTGAAGGCAACAGAATTAAAGCCAACAGTATGGAGTTAAACTAGAAAAGATACAGAATGGCTGAACATTTATTAGACAACCTGTAACCCTGTGTTCTTACAATGTGCGATTGCTTTCAGATGAAAAGATGTAAGCCGAAAGATGTAAGCCGGTCATATAAAAAAGATGGCCATAATTTAAAGTAACTATGTAAAAGACAGTAAGATAGTATTTTTTATTACTTTGATCCAAACAGAGTTTGAAGTCAACTTACAGACAACATCTTCGCGTGTAAAGTAATTCAGAAGCCTCTGTCTCTCAGTTGAAAGCCTAGAATTCCAGTATCTGCAGACAGAAAAAAATGAAATGTGAGGATTTCCATACCCTGATCCTCATATTCCAATCTCTTATCCTCTACACTTACACCGTGGCTAAATCGACATGAAACCGCAGCCCGTTTTCGATCACAGTAGTCACAAGAGAGTGGTTTCCAGCCAAAACTTCAAGCTGCATCGTCCTAAAGTCGTTCTGGATGATGTCTACTTTATTAACAACTGTTTGTACTTTTTTCTTGTTTTTGTCTAAAACTACCTGTTAAGAAGATAAAACCGTACTCGGGTAGAAACACGGATCAGGAAAAATATAAATGCACGAGTTGGAATGCAAATTAGACCGATGGACGATGGTGTACCTTTGCGATTATATTCTTGTATGGAAGATGTTCGTCTTTCAGATTCAGATGAGCAATATGCCCAATGGTCTCAAAACCTGAAGGAACAATCATACCCTCAGGTAAAATGGTTTCCAGAACCTACAAGAATATCATGATTTTCCTTCATCATCAAAATAACAAGCAAAAAAAGCAGCATAAGGAGCTAAAATGCTATGATTAAACGAACTGATGACTGGAACGTACCTCATTCATCTGCCAGTAATTATAAAACAGCGTCAACTTGCATTTCACTAGCTCAATAGCCGATGGCCCATTCTTGTCATTATACTGTTCAAAAAGTGCCTAGAAAGTAATAATTTCTTTAGTAATTAAAATTCTTCAGCTCTTTTCGCACACAGAAAAAAAGTAACATACAAGGTAGATAGAATTTATAATAGATTCAGAAGATCATAGCAAGTCAGTCAAGTAGCTAAAAGATGATTTAAGTTCCAATAGACATATGAATACTGTAAATAAAGTCCAAATCCATAGAGGCATACAACTCATGCAAAATACTAGCAATCTCTTCACTGGATAAACCCACCCTCACACCAGAGTTGAATACGTAGTAGAGAAATGCAAAGCAGAAATGGCAGAATATGATTCCAACAAAAAACCATAGTAAAAATCTAATCAGCATCTCGCATCCTAAATCATGTCTTAGAAAGACAAAAACAAAGTGTCGTGAACAATATTCAAATGCAGAAAGCCAAACTGAAGGGAAACTAGAAAAACCTTAATGGCGGCAGGCAAGTCCTCAGTCCTCTTATCCACATAAGTTTCATCCAAAAGCAACAATCTTGTGGAACCCCTCCATTTGGTCACTCCCTTAAACTCATAGCCTAACAAACCACTCATATCACCACCCTCACATTCCTCCTCTTCAGCTTCAACAACCTGCACTAAAGCTATCCCATTCTTATCATTCCCGCTTTTCTTTCCCCCATCATTTCCATGCTCCTCCTTCTTCTTCTGCCTTCCCTTTTTCGGCCTTGAAATTTTCGCCAAATTCCTAAACTTTACATACCCCTTGGAGTTAAAAGTCCTGGATAACTTATCCCTATACAGGACTGGACTCAATGGCTCTCCATCCCCATCAGCCTTTCCGTAAATTCGTCTGTTTAAACTCACCAATGTGTCATCATCACCAATCGAGTTGCCATCGGAATTGGAAGAATCATCAAACAATTCTCTCAATTCATCATCAATTTCATCTCCAGGGACTCTGGCAATGTTCCGAATCCTAGGCCAGTTAAGGAGGTGCCCCCGCAGGCGGCTCTCTAGCGCAAAGCAATGCTCCGAGGGGACACGAAGGGCGGCAAGGTCGAACACTCGGGTGAAGTTCTCTTCGTTAAATGAAATGGGATTATGAGTTTCTTCTGGGGGTTTTGAATTGGGATAAATGGGAGAAGGATTGTAGCCCTTCTGAAGGGAGGGACCGTAAGAAGGGGTTGAGGAGGTGGCGGCGACGGTGGTGGGGGTAAAGGATTTGGTGGAGGAAAAGGGGAGAGAAAGGGGCTTCGGGAAGTACTGGGGAGACAGAGAGAGTAAGTTAAAGTTGGGAGAATGAGGACGGAAGATGAATTTGAGGACCATAGGAAGAAACTCAGGTGGTGGCTTAGTGGTGGAGTGCGGTGGTCTCAGAATCAAATGATTTTCCCGGGAGAAATATCAGAGATGCTTTTACCCAAATAATAAAATAAAATAATAAAAGGGATAATTGTTGCTAAAACTCAAAAGGGCCGTTGGATCTATTGGGCTGTTGATTATGGGCCGGATGAAACGTAGGTCTGCAATTCAGCTCGAAACTGTACAGAATAATTTTTTGTTATAGTACCTTAATACCAAAATGCAGTTTGATTTGATCTATGTTTCACTTAGTATGCATTTATAATTAACAACAAAATTTTAAAAATATTTTTTTACATTTGTTATGTTACATTCATTGTTATAAAATATTTTTAAAGTTTTTTTTGTCACCAAGAGTTATCATTCTTTGAACACCAAGAGGTATCATTCTACCGATTATGTCAGTAATAGAGAATCACGTATTGGTACGTGTTTCCAGCCATATAGTTATTCAGTTTAGTTGAGAGTATATTTATATATATGGCTCGAAGTTGTCTTCATTTTATGATTAAGCAATCATTTTGTCTCCTTACCCTGAGACCTCATTATCAACAAATTCGTGACTGGAAGTCTAAGAAACACTGTTTATTCCAAATGAATTAAAAGTAGCACGACCTTGTACGTACGCTGACTGGTTATTAATGGTCACGCTTCACGCATGCAGATTATTTACAGCATGTCATTGCATGAAAATCCTTTCTTGCCATGATGTTATCCCTTTGCAACCAAGCAACATAGATATGATTCTACACATGCAGATTAATATACAAGGGAAACAAAGAAGAAGCATAAATAATAATTGCACAATTTTCATTCATTGCCGGAAAATGTATTACAAAATGTTCATCAATCGATCGATCCACCCTCCTGTAATTAATAAGTACAACGAAAGAAAGTCGAATGGCATAATAAAAAAGAAATGCCTAACATTTCTAACAAGTTCCTCTACCAAACTCACTCCACATTGTTCAGTTTTGAAAATTTAACCAAAAAAAAAATTGAAAGATTAAAATAATTCTAAAACAAGCGGAAGGTATAGTTACAGAATAGAGGAAGAATCATCAGCAAGGCCGAATTTTTTTTGTGCATTTGCTTATATCTTTCACCTCCATCCCCGCTCTCCATAGTCACCAAAAAGGTGACCTAAAAATTAACCCCAAAAAAAACTAACATGTTATTTATATATAAGAATATGTCCAAATTAAAATTAAGTCTCTCTTCAATGTGGACTAGATCAGTACCCGAGTAGTACGGCTTCTCTCCAGCAATCCTTCCAGTATAACTTTCTTCTTGTGCTCATCAGAGTCAATGTCAACGGAGTCAACACCATCATTCTGTAAAGAAGAAAATTGATGATGATGGTCAACCCCTTTGTTGAATCGACATGGGACCAAGAAAAGGCACGTGGAGGTGCAGAAAACTGCCAAAGCTTTCCCACACAAAACCAATGCCACCAAACAAACCAGCAAAAAGAAAAGCCCGATGATTAGTTTGCCAAATCTATTCACCCTGGAGCAGCAAACCGTGGCGTTTGATTTGTTCTCCAGTTGCTTGAATTCGTCAACAAATTCAATGGATTTCTTCCTTTCCGAAGGTGATCTTGAGTTGGAAGCAATGGATGAGGCTCGGGAGGTGGTTAAAGATGAAGCTGGCGTTACGGAGTTGGATGAAAAAATTGAGGATTCATTGGATGATGAATCGATTTGGGGTCCGAAATCTGACGGGTCTTTGTATATGGATGTAGTTGATGAAGATGATGATTTCTTTCCCCGTAAAGATCTAAGCATTTTCCCTAGTTTTGAAGATGAACTAGTACGGCTGCTACCACTGCTGAGTGATCGAAATGATTTTTCTTGCTCTGTTTTTCGGCCTCTGTTCTTCTTAGCCTGCGTACGTGAAATGATATGTTAAGATTATTAGTTCAACTACTTTCCGACTTCCACTAATAATTAGTTCAATTCTAATCAATTAAGGTTTAAGAAACAACAAAAACAACCAGATGTAAAAACAAAACGCGCAGATGTCCAAATTAAATTAGTGGAATAAATAAACCAAGAAATGATGATGACATTCAATTATTATTATGTGGAAAGAATGTTCGGCCTGAGAGGAAACGTATAATCAATAACCTCCAAAACCTTCATGACAATTCAAAGCATTAATCATCTCCCAGAAAACGGCCGTTGAACCAAGCAACATCCAACGGCGAAGAACTCAATGAATTGATGAAATAATAACATCAAAAAATGGTAGTAGTAGAATTCATGAATCATCAGAATTTTAAAATGCTGAAAAAGAAAATTTCATGAACGTGTAATAACGGACCCATAAAAATAGGAAAAGAACGCCCATTGATGGGAAAAAAAGGGAAAAGTTTTGACCGAGTCTTACCGAAGGGATGGGAAACAAAACGGCTTTGAAAGCACGAGACAAACTCCGGCGGGATTTCGACAACTTCTTGTTGGGGTCTGCTCCGGCGTCGGAAAAAGTAGAATTAGAAGAAGCAGACAACTTGTTGTCATCGTTATTATTGTCGGATAAGGCCATCAAAAAGTTGTTACGAAGGATGTTAATATTGCTCTCCTTCCCTCCATTTGCTAAACAAGGAACCGGTTCAAATGGGAAATCTTCATGCCTCTCGGGTCTGAAGCACTTGTACCACTTGCTCCTCTTATGGGACTTCAAGAAACCCATGATAATAAAAAAAATTTTAACTATACAGATATAGATAGATAAGAAATATACATATATATGCATTTATATATATATATATATAGTACTCAAAGTGAAATCATAGGTTTACTACACCCTAATACATATATGGAGGAAGAAGAAGAGGAAATCAAAAAAGAAAATGAAAAGAAAAAAGAAGATAAAAACGAAATGAAAAGAGTCAAGTGAGACTTTTTTGATTGAATTTCTGGGATTCTTTCAAGTAAGTAAAGACTTTTAATTTTTGTTGGTTTGAAGGTGATGGATAAAATGGTGGCGTGTATTTAGGGAGAAGGGTGTTCTGAGGATACGAAGGAACGTGTTGTTTGGTATATTGATGATTGAGTGTTGCAAACTGGCGTCCTTTGTTTTTTTTTTTTTTTTTTTAACTACTTTTATGGCGTTTTGGAAAAGCAGAGGAAGGGCGATTTTGCCGCTTTGCTTTATTTTCCCACTGATCCGTTTATTGTCAATCTATCTAAAACAAAACCAAACAAAAACGGATATTATCTGGGCGGAACAAATCGTTACTCTGGCTTCTGCAGCTTATATATACATAGTACTATACTATGTTTTTTTTTTTGGTATTAATAAAAAAAAAAACAAGCATGGATATATACTGTTGTCTTTATTTTCAGGCATATTTTAAAAAATGTGATGTGTGTCTTTTGTGTTATTAATAACATCGATCAATCAACCTCCTAACACATCGGTTTTGTGGAATTATAAATAGTTTTGGGTCTTTTTTGGTCGTTAGTGTAAGAGTGACAAATTCAAATCCATCAACCAAGTCAATCTGTCTTACTTTCACCCTTCCGAAGAAATTGTCCAATTCAAACTAGATAATCATTTCAAAATAATATATTAGAAACAAAAAATTGAATAAAATAATTATTTCACTATAGGGAAAAATAAATTTTTGTGTGTGATAACTCAATTAGTATGAAATGTCCAATTCTCATCTTTCCTAATCTATTTTTGTCGTCTCAAAATGATTGTATTTCTTAATATATTATTCCAGTAAAATAAATACATAACACTGGGTAGACTGACCCGGTATATTTTGGATCATTTAGATTATATACATTAAAATAATCAATTTGACAAATTTGACCACTAGGCATAGTTTAGTATAACATAAAACATCACTTTGTCAATTTTCTAAAATGGCAGCGATTAATATTAAAGCTCCCTTGGTTATCACTCATAAGTATAACAGTTGTAGTTTGACTGTTGAAGTTTGAAAGGGTTGATGTAACGGAGTCTGAATGACTGGTAAAATCGAATCAAATTTGTCGAATTTATATATTCAGAAAAATATGAGGGTATGTATTTCGTTTTTTAGTGTGTGTTTTAAACAGCGTTATCAGACTCGACTCGGACACCGATTCAGCAAGATTAGGGGTGAGAAATTTTAGGGGTCGATTCGGGTTGACTCGGGGGGTCGACTCGAATGGCGTCATTATGACGTAATAAATAATATATAATTATTAAATATATTATAATAATTAAAAAGGCTTAATATTCATGTAATTTTTTATAGTAATGTCAACAATAATATCTTAGAGTATTTAATTACATTTAAAATAAATATGTTAACTTAAAAATTACCACGATCTAATTATTTTTAATTAGAATTCATAAATTTAGAAGATAATCAACTTTTATTACTAATAAAATGTATAATAAAATAATCATTTTTGACATATTTTAATTATGGTTGCAATTTGTATGAAATAATGAAGGTTGATATGTGATAAAAAAAAATAATAAAAATAATTTTATTTAAAAATGGTGCCTTTCATAAGTCGAAGTCAAAAGTTTAGGACTGAAATGACAAATTAATTCTTGAAGAAAAAAGCTATCGGGTCATTGAAGCATAAAAGGAAAATATTAGGACCAGGGAAGAGAAAGAAAAACACGAAAAACGAGAGAAAAAAGTAAAAATTTGGTCAAAAGAAGCAAAAATCAGCAAACCTCGGGTCGACTCAGTTTTGCCCGATTTGCGGTTCACTCGGAGTTTTGAGCGATTTTGACCGAATCAAAGAAAAGGAGTTTTTCAAGTCACTCGGCTCGATATTCGGTCCGGTTCCTGGTTTAACCGGTTGAAGCGGTCGGTCCGAGCCGAGTCGAACAACACTGGTTTTAGGTGTTTGTTGTATTGGGATTGTAAAAATTTATATCAGAAATGTAAAAAAGTATGCTGGGATGAGACAATTATTAATATATTAATCTGAAAAAACTATCCAAAAAATCAAACAAACAAAGCCTGAAATTTTTATTGCATTACTTTATTACCATGATTTTGCTGCAGGAATAAAGTATCGTTGTAAATTGTAATTGTATTCTTGTTTGATTTTAGTCATATTACTAGATAGAATCCGTGTAATCACGGGTTTCTAATCGATTTCTTTGTGTATTCAACCGATGACATTGATATAATTAATTATTCTAAAACTCTTACATATTAAATCATTCAAATATAATTTTTCATATTTAATTGTTATAATCAAATTACAAGAAAAACACCTTAAACACAGTAATGTAGCTAAGAATCCCAAACTACCATGAGTTTGGGCCCAATTTTGGTCTTTTTCACTAATGTTAAGAATGAAATATTACTTATTTCTTAAACTCAATTGCAAAAGCATTTTTTTCCCCTATGATTGCGCACAATCTGACAGTTGTATGTTATCATAACTAATTGGACGATAATGATTAATAGATGATTTTATAAGTCTTGGTTACTCTTTCAGTTTATCGATCTTGGCTTTTTTTCGGGCTACTATTGTTCACGGGCTCTCTCATTAATTTCTGTGTTCATCCGATGGGTACATTTGCTCAACTAGTCGCCCCGGACTCTTAAGCATGTACATATAAATTCAAATATGACTTATAATCACGCACAGTTCCACATTTAGCGAACAATCAAGACAGACTACAAGTCACTCAGCAAATACACCCTAAGGCGTATAAGATCACCTTTAGGGCTTAATAATAACATTCAAAAATATTTTTTTTTAAAAAAAAATGTGTTTGTGTGTAGTGACTTTTCCAATATATCCATACTCCCAGTTTTAAAATAATTTTAGAAAAAGTGAGGATTACTCATAAGTACTATTTATTTGGAATTGTCGCCTCCGTGGAAGTGTTGCCTGCAACACGTATTGAATGACACCAAATAAATACTTAAATATTGTCCATAATTCATATTATTTATTTAATAATTATCTTATCATATATATATATATTGTATTTATGTACGTGTCTATATATAATTATGTATATATCTTAGTAGTTCTAGTTTTAATAGTTTAATATTTGTGTTTAGTTAGTTGGCCATAATCGATATAAAATCTTTAAGATAAAATTAAGTCTTATAAAGTCTAAAATTCGTTCTCTAATACCTAATTCATTATATAAGAATGAAATAATGCCAAATTAACAATATGATAAACGTTCTCAACATTAAAACTTAAAACACTAATTACTAGGGTTAAAAGTAAATGGTATTTTCGAACGTTTTCGACGACTTAATTTTATCACTACAAAACGATGCAGGGTACATATTATATACCATTAGAAATCCTTAAGAGTCTAGTTTATAGCGCAATAAATGTCTTCTAAATCCGAATTTTTTGCAAAAAATTATGCCTAGTTTAGCAGAACCAGACGTTGCTGCTGCTGGTTACAATGGCTACGGGTTTGCTAATGCTTAACCGTTTTCTACGCTACTACTTCGTTTCTGACCATTCTAAATACACTAATATATGTATAAAGATCACAATCTACAGAAACTACTTGATCCAAACATTATTTAGCTAAAAATTCTAATAAACTAAAGGAGGGATTACTTAGTTACCTCTCTAAATTAGACCTTTTCCTCTACGTTTGCTGTTGTGATAGCTTCTCCTCTGCACCCACTAACTTCTCCTTCCTCCTTCTCATCCTTTCATCTAAATAGAAAGCTTCCTCACTCTTTTTTCTTTCTCACTATATTGCTGCATTTTATTATTTTTTTCTTTTTGGTGTGTAAGGGATGAGAAGCCCGATTCTATTTATACTTGTTCAGCTCCAGATTTCTTTGCCTATAAGTCTAGATCTTAGACCCCTTACTCACTATTTCATAGACCTAACAGCTCATCCTTTCAATTGCTTAGTAAGCCCTATGTTTCAACTTGACTTGTCTCCTTTCCACGTTTTTTTTTTTTACCCTTGCTGAATCATGTTACTAAGATGAGCAAGTTACTTGATTCAGCTAGTACTTATTAATTTATTCTTTAAGTGACACACCTATATTGCTCAACTCCTTCAGAATAGCATGAATGCATTCCACGTAGCTAGAATTCCAAGGACTAACCGATCCTAGTATGTTCATGACTTGAAAATTTTGCTTACTCACTACTAGACTTATGATGAGCTGTCTAGTTCATAAAATTTCAGATTAGGAGCTTAATGGCTTTTCACGTTGTTTACCTTAAGGTTAAAACCCATAAAGTGTTCCATACTCACTAATATAGCCGTAGGAAGTGTTATTGTTTTATCCTCTCTTTTTTTTTTTTTCTTTGTTTTTAATCAACAAATTAAGTGATAATATATTAGTTGTTGTCCTAAAATTAAGTTTTGGTTTCTAACTACTTAAGATTTATTGGTGTGCCTCTCTTTATATATTTTTTTTTCCTAAGTATATTTTATATATATGAGTATAGTCATTCTTAGTTTAGTTTGAGTAAATATCTTAAATAAAATTATCTATATTTAACTTCATATGACCATAATAAGATAAAATAATAAGATTAAAATTTTAGGGCTGTTACAAAATAAATCACTACAGTAGGTTTCTTGTTATTTTAAACCACCATACTCGCATGCTACTAGGAAGTAGGAACACATTTTGGTCGAGGTTCCCAACCATGAAGTGGCTTATTTTATTGTTAAAAAAAAAAGGAATTATAAAAGATCACTACAGTATTTTTTCCGAAATTATTATCTAAATTAATTTTTTATTTTTATTTCAAATTGTAAAAAGTGAGATTTCAATCTGAACAATAATGTTAGGAGGGAGAGAGTAGTTTCTTATTACTTTAGACCATGATACTCTCATACTAGGAATGCGGCTAGGCCGAGATTCCCAACCACGAAGTGGTATTTTCAGATGAGTAGTGATATACATAGGGAAAAATTACAAGAAAAATTTACAAAGAATAAGTTGTCAATCATCTAAATTATGCCATAATCTTAAATACGTAAACTTCAGATGGAAAGCGTTAAAAATGAACGGGTATAATCAATTTCTTGCAATTTTTTCTTATCATTTTTTTCATGTATGTATCATTATTCTTTTAATATTTTAGGATATAGTCTTTTTTTTATTGTTGTTAAAAAAAAGACATTAAAAAAATGATTCTATTAATGTAACGACTATAACTTGTGGGAAAAAAAAAGAGAAAATATACTCGAGATTGGATTGTGAAGAGGAGCCCATCATCTTGTATATTGTGGGCTTTTATCTCAAAAACTGGGTATCAGGAGCTAGTGGTTTAAACTTAATTAGGGACATGAGCTCTCAATGATCCTGTATCATGTGGCCCATTAATTTCTGGAGGAGTGTACTCGATTTCAAAACGTATAAGACCGGAGAGGAGAGAAGACTGACTGCAGTCTCTTCCTATAATTTTTTAAAACCTCTGAATTCCGTGTTCTCTCTCCCATTATACAAAACTGAGCTCAAAGCTCTCCCCCTTTGCTGCTGCTTAGGGCAAAGAATCACACTCACACACTCAATCACGTTCCATTCCGTCGCTTTGTTTATCCTTAAAAACCTAGTTCGAAGCGGTGAAATTGATTGATTGATTATTTGTTTTGCTTTGCTTTCGCGGAACCGCCATGGAGCTCCTGCGATCGAACCTGTCGCACGTTAGAATTCCAGGACCTACCAATCGCGTTTACAAGCATGAATGCTGCGTCTCTTTCGACACTCCGGTAGTAACTTTTAATTTGATTGTTCAAATTCTACTGTTGAGCTTGAATTTTCTGCATTTTGTTATTGTATATTCGCCTCCATGTTGCTTTCGGATTGCACTTGCTGAATTCTGTGCTGCAATCGATGTGCTATAGACTTTTTGTTTTGCTCTATAACTAGGGTTTGTTAGAGGTTTTGAATTTTCGCTTAAGAGAACACGTTTGTACCTCAGGGCGATTTACAGTAATTTGTTATTCTTCTTGTAATTTAATGCTGCTTGCCTTGGTTGATGTGTTGTTGTTCTTACTGTAGAATCTTATTGTCCTTGGACATTTTCAGGAATCCGATGGTGGTCTATTTGTGGATATGTGCTCATTTCTCGCATTTGGGAAGGATTACGTGGGATGGAACTACGAGAAGACAAAGCATCCTGTATATTTGCATATAAAGCGAACCGTGAAGCCTGTTAGTGAAGATAGGCCGTCGAAAAAGCCTACTCTGTTAGCTATAGGTATGGTAAATTTGTTACATTCTCTTGCTAGTGTCTGCGGAAGTTACATTTGATAATACTGAGTCATAACTCTTTGAGGTTCCTAACTTCCGCATTACTTTAGGCTTTATGATCATGCCGGTTTGTAAATTTCCTTTTGATTGATTTTACATGGCCCAACACTCGATGGAGAAGCTGTCTGCTCATTTAAAATAGGTTCCATTGTATGAGCCTTTTTTGGTGAGAATAGATTAGTCTCAACTATAGTTGTAACTTCGCTGAATTTAACATTTGTGACAAATAACTGAAAGTAAAACTGTTCATGGTCAGTGGATTTGAACTCCTCAACGTATTCGTATGTGCCACATCTAAGAGGAAAACTTTCTAAGGCCATGTATCCTCGCCTCTGTCTATTAAAAACTAACCAGAACAAAACAATGTTACTAAGGTATCAGTTGCTGATTTATTTGGTTATTTATTATCTACATCCTTTTATCCAAGCTCTTTTTTTTCCAAGAATATTTTTCTGCCTGCTTTTTTAAATGTTTAACTTAATGATCTCCTTTTTATTTGTCCTTGAAGGTGTTGATGGAGGATTTGATAATAATGAACCTGAATATGAGGAAATCTTCAATATTGTTGTCTTACCAGATTATGTATCCCTTCCTTTTCCTTCTGTTGAACTTCCAGAGAAGGTATCTTCCATTTTTCTACAAATTATCTAGGTTCCTGATCATATATGTTTTGCAATCTTATTTACTAACAATGTAGAAATTGTTTATGAGTTGCAGGTAAGATTGGCAGTTGATAAAATTCGATCAGTTGAGGGAGCTGAGAGGAAAGAGCAGGTTGCTGCATGGGTAGCGGATAAGAAGAAACAAAGTGATTATGCCTTAAAGTTGGTCCAGCTCGATAATGGTGTCGTTGTTCCCCCAACTGGGTGGAAATGTGCCAAGTGTGATAAGACTGAAAATCTGTGGTTAAACTTAACTGATGGTATGATCCTCTGTGGGAGGAGAAATTTTGATGGCAGCGGAGGTAACAATCATGCTGTTGAGCATTACGAGGCTACCCGCTACCCACTTGCAGTGAAGCTTGGCACCATAACGTCTGAGTTGGAGACAGCAGGTCTGTTTTAGTTTTATGTGCAGAAATGCCTCTCTTTGTAATGCATTTTTATTTTTTTAATTTTCTTCTAGGCCCTACGTATTTATTTACTTATTAGGATTTGGACCTTATGAGGACACTTACTTACCTATGGAATTTATATTTGCTTCTAAATCGTTTTTTTCCATCTTTGTTTTTTTTTCTTTTCTGTTAGGTATGCATTGTTTCATCTGCTTTGCTGCTGGTTTCAGTGATTTTGTTCATATGAAGATCTAGCAAGCTGTTTGGCTTAATTCTTTTATTTATTTATTTATATTGGATAAGATATTTGGGTATTGTATACTTTATGTGTGAATACATAATGAAAATTAATGTTATGATGTCTTAGATGGAGTTATTATTCTCAAATATAAGATATCTATAACCTTAAAAGAATCGGAATGGAGGAACTGTAGTTGGTTGTATTCACCTTTTTTTTTTCCCATTCAAATGAAATCATGAATTCACATTTTTGGCAGCTCAGATGTTTATTCTTATCCGGAGGACGATAGTGTTGAGGATCCTCTTTTGGCACAGCATTTGGCACATTTTGGCATTGAATTCACAGCTTTACAAAAGGTCTGTACCATCCTGGTGCCAATTTCTACTTATTTCTATTTCCATTTGCGCGAGCTTCATGTCTTTTATTGTGTTTTTAGACTGAAATGACTACTGCTGAAATGGAACTTGATCAAAACACCAACTTTGATTGGAACCGCATTCAAGAAAGTGGAGAAGATCTTGAACTACTATTTGGACCTGGTTATACTGGATTAGCTAATCTCGGAAATAGGTACCTCTTTTACCCTTTAAAAAGTTCCTTTTCCAGACCCATTAGTTGTACATTTTCATTATTTTTTTGGTTGTTGTTTGATCTGCAGTTGCTACATGGCGGCGACCATGCAAGTATTGTTCTCAACTCGCTCGTTTTGCTCTCGGTACGTTTACATCATTTATAAGAATTTCTCAGCATATGTACCTTTTGGTTTCTGTTCATTTACTCTTTCCAGATTTAATTTCTCACTGTGGGAGTTCTCGTCTATCTCATAGAGTTCTTATAACTATCTTATTTTCGCACCAGGTACTTTGTGAATCAGAGTCTGAAAGAAGCTTTTGATATTGCAATAGCCGATCCAGCGGTGGACTTGAACATGCAGCTGTAAGTAATTTGTCTACTGTTTTCCACGATGCCTAGTTTTGTCTGTGAACTTGCTACAATTTATGCCTCGGCTTTATTTTTTGCAGAACAAAATTGGCACATGGCATGCTCTCTGGTAAATATTCTCTTCCAGCAACCGAGGTATAGTGCCCCTTTATGGTACTCTCTCTTACTCTAATAACATATCTGCAACTGAAAGGTGATACTACGTAGGAAGTCGATGTGTTTTAGTGTGGTGAATCTTAGCTGCATCTTTCTATCAATTTTGTTGTCTTTGATTATGTGATTCAAATACTATTGCTTCATCACTTATTATTGCAAATGTATGCTTATGCCTGATCTTTTATATGATATTGATCTTGTTAAAATCTGATTTGGTTTGTCATTTTTTGGTTATTATTTAATTTTCCCTTTCCAGGATAAGCTCAATTTATCCTTTTGCATGAGCATGTATTATACATTGTTTGCTTTTCTGTTGGTCAATGAATTCCGTTGTTGTTATGCAAGTAGCCTCTCGCAAGGTAAATATGTGTTGCTGATGTGCTAACTGTAAATACTGACAATTTTTTTTGTTCCATTTTATGTTGTCAATTTTAGAAACAGGAGGGCATTCGTCCCCGCATGTTCAAGTCAGTAATTGCTGCTAACCATCCTGAATTTTCAACTATGAGACAACAGGTATATTCAGGTCTTTGTTTGCTGTTGCTGCCATACAGTCCTTCCCATGTGCTTTTGTGTACTTGTTTGTAGGGTTCATAGTTCAATTAGATCTAATGTGAGGGTTCTACTGGTTTGACTTGTCAGATTTTTTCGCAATATGCTTATATGTAAGCCATGGGCTGAAGTTATTATTATTTCTTAATTTGGTTTACGTTCTATGTTTTATACTTTTGTGCACATCTGTTTTGCTATAAAATGGCATCACTTACAGGCAACTGACCTAGTTCACTACCTATTTGCTTAATTGTTATGACTGTCACTGGCCTTTCTTGAATCTTGCTTGTGCTTTTTAGGTTTGAATGAGTTGTCCTACTTTGATTTTCTCTTGTGACAGTTGAATTCTTATTTCCATGATTTTCTTCTGGCTGTTTGATTCGATCTTATTTCCAGGATGCTCTGGAGTTTTTCCTACATTTCTTTGACCAAGTTGAGAAAGTACATGCACAAAACTCTTCAAATACCTGGATAGTTGATCCTTCAACGAGTTTCAAGTTTGGTATAGAAGAACGCATACAATGTCCTTCAGGCAAAGTTGCTTACAATCAGAGGAGAGACTGTATTCTGTCGCTCAATATTCCGTTGCACAGAGCTACAAACAAGGGTGAGTTTCCTTTTGTATATTGTATTTGAAAATGCTATTCCTGCTCTAATGTTTATGCTGAAAATTCAGGTGAGCTGGAAGCCTTTGAGAAGTTGAAGGCCGAGAGGCATGCTGAAGGGAAGGAATTGTGAGTTCCTATCTACCATTCCTATCTTGCTGGCAACATCATGTTTTAATCTGATGCTTACTTAAGAAAGTACTCACAGGTCTAACGAGGAAATTGTGCGCCCACGAGTTCATTTGAAAGATTGCTTGGAATGTTTTTCCGGTCCAGAGGAAGTGCATGATTATTATAGTACTGCTTTAAAGTCTAAGACCACGGCTATTAGGTGAGTTGCTTTCGCCCTCCTTTTTGTTATGTTTTCCCGAGTATGGAGTGAGCTTCAATCAGCTTTGATTACATGTTTTTCCTCTGAAACTATAACACATTTAGGTTTTATTTGTTGTTCTAATTGCCTGTAGAAGTTTTATAATTCCAGAACAACCAAAGCTTTGTACTCGGCATTTTGTTTTTCTTTTCCTTTGTTATTCTGATCTATTATTTTGATTTTCAGAACTGCTGGTCTAACCTCATTTCCCGATTACCTTGTGTTGCACATGAGAAAATTTGTCCTTGAGGCAGGCTGGGTCCCTAAGAAACTTGGTATTTGGATAATCTTACTTTTGTTTTTTTTTTTTTTTGGCCTCACAGCTGTTTATTAAATAACAGCTATTACTGATTGTTCTTTTTGTCTTCTTGTTTCATTAGATGTCTATGTAGATGTTCCTGATATCATCGACTTGAGTTTCATGCGCAGCAGTGGTCGTCAACCCGGGGAGGAGTTGTTACCTGAAGCTGGTATGTTAATTAAAATTTAATCTCAATTTTCTCCTTCACAGTCTTACCAGGCTCGTATTGTTCTGCGCAAAAAGAATGTTGTCTTGTTTATGCATGTACATGTCTAAGAGGTATTCATTTGTCAAGACTCAGGAGAGATATCTTTCTTCTTTGGTAACAATTTATTTGTTTGAACTGTTTCAAAAATTTTATGCTGAATGGAATTATATATATATATATATATATATATATATATATATATATTGGATTTCTCAGTTCCATTAAATAAAACAAAACATTTACAACTGTAAATGAAAACTAGTCCGGAGCTATTTTACAAGTGTAGCTTGAAGTGAATCATTAATCTTCAAACTTTAAATCCTATATCTCACAATATCAACAATTAGTCTAGTTGAAGCCTCCTGAGATCTCCTCCTCAACCTTATGAACTTTCCTCTCTTGCCATAAAGAATAAACCTAAGAACCAAGCAAAATGCATAAGCAACATTATTCCTTGTATCTTGATTTCCCGAGTGTTGTGACCAGACTATGTGGCTTGATTTCATCTGCCATCGGACTTAATCATTCTTACTGATGTTGTTTTCTTTTCCTTAAGCCATGTGTTTTCATTTTCCTTGAACCCCTGTAGCTTCATTTGTTCTTTCATGATTTCTTTTTATTTTCGTATTATACCGATTCCAAATCGAATCAGATTATTCAATCTTTTCATATACCAATTCACATTTGAATGTTAAAGGCTTGATTCCAACCCTGAATATTGCATGAACAGATGATGAAGATATGTCTCCTCCTAATGCTGATGAGACTATAGTTGCCCAGCTTGCTTCGATGGGATTCAGTCACATTCGCTGTCAAAAGGCTGCCATTAACACTAATAATGTGGGGGTGGAAGAGGCAATGAATTGGTTATTTGCTCACATGGATGACCCTGGTACTTTTCTCCAGACATTATACTGGCAGAAAACGTCTCCTTTTTTTTTCAGACCATGTAATTTTGTCGATGCATTGGATGGACTGTGAAGGTGATTGATGATCTGTTAATTTTCTTGCAGGCATTGATGATCCGGTATCTGGAAAGGGGTCTGCGTCTTCTGGTGATCAATCAAAACTTGACACTATGGTTTCGTTTGGTTTCCCAGTGGAACTTGCTAGAAAAGCACTCAAGGAATCGGTATAATCCTACCGTGGCCTTAAAAACTACAAAATGTTTTGTTTTAGGATTTCGTTTTCAATGATCCTTAATCTGACTTTTGCAGGGGAATGATATTGAGAAGGCATCAAATTGGATTTTTGACCATCCTGAAGCTTCTGGTGGTGACCCTGCATTACCTGATGGTGGAGGAAGTAAGTTTTTGGCATACCCCGTGCTCAAATGACTTCCCTGTGCAGTGTCTTCGCTATCTTGTGGAGCCCGTTGCCAGATGTTACCGGAAATCTCAGTTAAAGCGTTTATCATGCATGACTTTTAACTCCGTGGCTAATATTCCTCTGAATTTTTTGTTTGCAGAATACAAGTTGCTTGGAATTGTAAGCCATATTGGAACCTCTACACATTGTGGTCACTATGTCGCTCACATTAAGAAGGATGGCAGATGGGTGATTTTCAATGATTCAAAGGTTGGAGTATCGAAGAACCCACCCCTTGACATGGGATACTTGTATTTCTTTGAGAGATTGGATTGAACAGGGGAATTTAGGTCAAACCGAAAGCAGCTGTTGAAGAAATTTGAGAATACTGAAGAAGGTTAGGGACATGATTTTTGGGAACTTTTAGGCAACTTATGGAAATGTGCTTTCACCTGTTGATAGGGATTTGTAGACATAGGAGTACAATACAACTGCTCTTTAAAGGTTTCATCAACTTGTCGCCTTATTCCATTGATTGACATGTGGGATGATGTAAGCACATACGCTCTAATGTGGTTATCTTGAGAAGTTCTTTTGACTTTTGGTTTGGTCGATGATATTCTTGCATGGGTGGTCGAAATTCTTACCAATACTAACCAATATGTCTCCGCCCGTACATGTGTGTAACCCTCCTAAGTCTTCTGCTCTGCTTTTGTGTTTACATGATAACAATAATAATGTACATCTACCATTAGATGATATGAAGTTATGATTGAGGAATCGCAGTCTGGTTGCTGTGTAGCTGCATCTACCCTGTACGGCAGAAACAGGAAACATGTGGGTCGTCCTCTTTCCAATCAGATCAATGCACAGGTCTCCTTTCATCTTTCAATGATGGTGGAAGGGCAATCTCTCACGGAAAAGGTTCTGACGCAAATGATGATCATCTCTGCAGTGATTTTCAGATGGTACGACTGAAAATGTTTGCTCTCTGGCTTGGGTGGTCATTTTGAGCTATTTCTGTTTCCTGCAGTTGTCCAAACGCCGTTTCTTGACATCGTTGTCGCTATTTTAGGCCTCCTTGGTTTATGACTTTTGTCAGACAAGAAAAGACTCCAACTTGCTAGCTGAAATTTGAATTTACTTTTGAGACGATCTTGCTCGTAATCAGATGGCCAGAAGCTTTTATGTAGAATCCGAGAGCTTTTATAATGTATGGACGTTAAAAACAATTGTGCCTGTTTTCCATGGTGGATTTCCTCACGTGCTAGAATTATTATACCAAACATGTTGCCGAAGATGTAGTAAAATCGTACATCGGCAAAGGAGTTTGTACTAGCAGAATAGTACAGTCAGCTGTACAATCTATACCCTCATCGACAGAATGTAGTACAAACCCGCTCCCTCGTACTTCACCATCCTCTCATATTTATTTATAATAATGGCATAAAATTGCAAGTATGAATTAACCCAGTTGCGCCCATTAGAGTGGAGGAATGAGCGAGAGAACTCAAAAATATCATTGAGTGCAGCGTTGATGAATTTCGCGGCTTTCGGCTTTTCGCCAAGGCGCTTTCTAGCTTGCCATATTTTCTTCATCAGCGCTGCACTCAATCGTATTTTTCCAGTTCTTTGAATTTTATTGAAAGCGAGAGACGTGGAAATGCTGCTCACTTTTTTAGTCTTCTAGTTAGCAGGGTTTCGTTGGTCTTGTCCTTTCCACATTACATTTTGCTCTTATGTAATTAGCTTACCTTTCCATTAGAGAAAACCTGTCGTGTTACAATCAGTATAAATCAAATTCGCCCATTTTCACATGTTTAAGTCTAGTTGGAGGCAGGCAGGTTTGAGTTCACCCTTGCGAACCGATGCTCCTTTGTAGCCTTTCTGCATTTGGCGAGACTCAAACTCTCTAAATATACATACATAAAACATATCATCGTTTTATTGCTCACGCTCTCTAAGCATTGCAACAAACCATTGATCTTACCAATCAGTATCCCGTGGTGTCAATACCGGTTGCCTAAAACCAATGATCCTTACTGAAAGCAATTAATTGTGTGCATACCAATATATTACTCAGTAAGTGGTGCAACTTACGTAACCACTAGGTAAAATATACAGATCTTGCAAATTGCTCATACTTTTAAAGAGGTCAATGCTTTCTAGTAAAAGTTAACATTAACTCTCCAATTTGAGTCTAAGAATCACAGATGATGGACGTAGAGATATTGACCTATGATTTATCCATGAATGTATGATCTTTCTCTCATCTTTCCTATTTCTATTCAAAATTTGTTGTGTCATTTTCGCGTGTTCAATGCTAACATGGTACAATGTGTGAAGTTGGGAAAAGGAAAGAAAACAAAAGAAAGAAGCAATTCCTATTTAGAGCAGAAGAAGGAAAAACTATCTATAAACTAAAAAAAAAAAAAGAAGGAAAAACTACGGCATTTTCAGAGCAGAAGTATGCTTTCAGGATTTGCTCATCTTTATTTCTTCATTTAAAACTCGTGTACCTATTCCGTTTCAGATAAATTCTTCAACAAGTACTTCAATAAGTGCTCTGGGGAACCGAAGCTTTCATGGGGCCATAAGTCCTTCAATGGTGTACACAAGAGACTCCGCCCAGTCCGCCTTGAAGAGTAAGGTTTGCAATGTTCGGAGCACATCATACTCGGGATCAAGCTTACGCTGCCATCCCTAAGGAATAGGAAAAAAGACTGAATCAGCAATACTTATAGCCACTTTAAAATCCCCAGACTAAGATAGCAACACATGTGAACTCCTTTACACCAGAACTTATATTACTTATTTTTTGTTTTTTTTTTTTTCCGGAAAGTGTATATGACACTTAGGCTATACATGAAATAGAAAGAACTCTTCCTTAGATTATTACAGATGGTATATTAAGTCAATATGCCAGTCCGCAGAGGCAGAGGTGTCAGCGTGCATTCCATGCACTTACAGACATCAGATCTCGGAATCACACAAACTAGGTTAAACGAGGATTAGATTCAAAATAGGACACAAAATCTTTCGACGAATTGCCACTCAAGCGGTAAATCATATTGTCATCAATCAGAAGAAAGGGGCAGTAATACAACATAGTGCATGCACAGCCATGTTACAAATTCTAGAGTAACCAGGGACCAGTTTCCAAAGCAGGACCCAAGATCTTATAATCCATTGCAACTCAAGTCGTTAGTCATGCTAATTAATTTTCAGATATAATGCTTATATTGTTATATGGTTCATCATGCTAAGACTAACTACGAATTGGAAAAGGCATCACCCATGCATCATGTTAGCAACCCCACCGACAATAACCAATCACATCTCCATTCTCCAGTGTTTCTACTGAACATAAACTTGAGGTGAATTCAATGCAAGAAAGACTAAAATTTATTAATCATCAAGTAAAATAATTCAGCTTGAGCTAACTTTTGATCTTAAAGAGCTTGTGAATAGGATTCACTGAATACATCCAAAATATATTAGTTAAATCTTTCCAATTTAGAGTTTTGACCAAACAATAAAAGAAGAGGAAAAACAGCAATTTACCTCTAACACCAACATTGTTACCATCACTGTGCAAACATTGCCATCAATATTAACTCTGTGTCGCCTGACTTGTTCAAGCATTTGTTGCATGCAATCCGCAGGATGAAAGGAACCGCCTTCTTCTGTATCCCAGAAATTAAAGGTATTCTCCACCTCCTACACATAATGGGAAAATTTTATAATGAAGCAATAAACATAATAAAACTCTGCAAGGTGAATGACATCAAAGAGGTTGACTAATCAAATAAAATCAAAGCCTTCACTCAACCACCTCCCAATTACAACACCATAAAAGTGTCGGCATAGCACAGGCAAAATTTCAGCCAGAAATGACAGGAAGACTAGGTTCAGTGGTAATGGCAACTGACAGTGTCATCAACAGATAGTTGTGTGGTGCAATAATAACTGATATACTGCAAATAGAGATTCTCACTTTGATGAATTCTACTATACTCTTGGCATAACTCTAAGAATGATATAGTATTTCAAAATAAATTAATCACTTCACAAAATGCTCAAATCTTCAATATATAATACTTTATTCCTACTCCAGTCTCCAGATAACAATATTGAAAGTATATTTGGTTTTACAGTACATTGATCAAATTTCGAGTTAATGATGCATAGAACGTCAGCAAACACACCCAAAAATCAGTTTCTCAGCCAGAAGAAAGCTGCACAGGAAAAGTGAAGCACCTGAATGAATGACTCTGGGTTCGGACAGCTCTGATGTTTTGACAATTTAAGAGTACATTCTGCAGCAGTGCGGCCATCTCGAAGGGCCACAGCCTTAAAGAACTCAAGTAGGGTGACTCGATCATTCACAGATAGTTCAGCAGTCATGCCTACATCGATGAAAATGAGATGTGGCCTTAATTTGAATAGACCTTTAGCGGAAGCATTGCCACGAGTTGTTCTGACTAAAATATTCCCCGGGTGCATGTCTGCATGGAGAAAATTGTCCAGCTGGGCATGAAACCCAGAAAACAAAGAAGTCAACATGTCTAAACTATGAAGTCAAGATGCTGAGTACCGAACAGAAGATCCTATTCCAAAAGAAAATAGCTGATAAATCTTAAGAGTCTCAAATGAATCACATAGGACATTCTGACCATTTACATAGTTAAAGCAGATAAGAACTTGACAGTTTTAAAGCTAGATAACAGAAAAATTGTGGTTCAGAAAATGTCAAAATCAAATGTAGTAGTTGTTCATTGTTCTTAAAAAAATTATAAACCATTTAGACACCAGAATAAGGAGCTTCTTCTCCATTTTTAATTTGCAGCGGCCTTTTGTTTCTCTACTGACAAACAAGGATTCTTTAATTCTTTCTAACCGGTTTTTCCACTAGTCCCCCAGCTGATTAGGTCCAGTGTTTATATGCTCAACTATATGGTACCCTATTGCCTAAATTCAAATGCAGTTCAAAGCAGCAGATAATGATAACATGCAGGATTAGTTCCTATCATACCAACAGCATTTTCAAGAGTGCATGAGTTCCGAGGTGAGCTAAGCCACTTTTGACGTCTTGGTGTCCATCAAGCTTGTCAACATAGTACTGTACACTTTCACCATGTTCATATGTTTCAACCAAGACAGCAGGATGCACCAACGGATACAGTGGCTTTGGAAAGGATACATCCTTCCACCGACGAAAATTGTAAAGGAACCGATTTAAATTGGCAGCCTCCCTTGCAAGATCGACTTGAGACATCATAAACACAGCGAACTGTTGAATGCTTTCATCAAGTCTCAACCATTGCAATGTGGGGAAGAAAGCAGCAATTTTAGCAAATATATTTATCAAAGTAAAATCTCTCCTAATAGCCTCACCAACACCAGGATGTCTGACTTTTACAGCCACTAGAATAGGCTTTATTTGTTTTCCAGGATAACGGAACTTTAGGGTAGCTCGATGTATTTGAGCAATGCTACCCGATGCTACAGGCTCCTCTTCAAAGGTTTCAAAAATCTCATGAAGTTTGCGCCGAAATGCACTCTCAATAGTTGTTTTTGTATACGCATAGCTATGGGCTGGCGCTTTCATGTGGAGTTTAGCCAGCTCACTGCACAAGTCACTAGGAAATAAATCTGGCCTTGTTGCAGCCCACTGACCCCATTTGATAAACGCTGGACCAGCTTTCTCTAAAGTAACGCGAACTGTCTGCAACCATGTTGTCCTATACTCGGAGCCAAGGGATTCAGCAAAAGGAGCCATAGCTATGCAAGGGCAGAACAAAACTGCTAAATATATTGCTCTTAGAAACAATATCAAACCCTCAAGTAGCAAAAAAACAAATGAGGTCAGCTGAATGTTTCCATTTTGTGCGTGCATGTATAAAGTATCCCTGGTTGGGAAGCCTTCTGCCTCTGCCATCAGAGTTTTTCTCCATGTTAGCTCTCTAATCACAAAAGCCAATATGCCAGGAGCTACCAGCTTTGATCGAGTCAAGGCAAGGCTTACAGCACATGCAATCCTACTTACAGGAGGCAAAACCGTGGTAAACGAACAAGTTTGAGCAAATCTTTTCCAGGCAATATGGGCATGATTTGAAACTACATGACTGGTTGAAAATCGAATAATTCTCTTACTTCTTCCAGCTTCTGACAAGGTTTGCTTTGCTTCACATAACGTATACGAAACATATCCTTTACACGAAACCTTCCAGTGTAAACACAGCCGGCCCAGGATATAAGGAAGTCCACCAGGAGATGGCACCAGCCTATGATTTACCTCCAAAGTATTAGTCTTTGAGCTCAGGGAAATAGTATCAGCAACTCTCCTAACATTAGCTGTTGCCAATAATCTACATAAAACATATTTATCAGAAACCTCATGAATGCACCTGTCTTGGTTTAATTATATCAATCCTATATGGGTATAACAAAAATGAACCTCCGTGAACTCAAACAAGAGTACTGCTTTTCAAGCATACACAACATCACAAAAGAGAGCAAATAAATTTCGCCGTAAGATGACAATTCATTCTCAATTGTCTCAAGAGAACTAGAGAAGTTCTGCAGATATAAGCCTTATTAATCTGGCATTCGAAATTTATCTCTAGAGAGAATCTCTAGCATTCCAGCTCGTATTTGCACTATAGTTAAAAATAACCTAGCAAAAACACAAAAACTAAGCTGTTGCGTTGATTCATCTTTACAGATTCCGCATTTCAGATATTTAAGCAATTAAAATTTCTCCAGTCACGCCAAAAACGGTTCACACTAGTTACACATATAAACAGTATAATCAATTGATAGAAGAGCAAATACACAGATTGAATTAACTTAAAAATTTGCAAAAAGTAAGTGTGATTCAAAGAGACGGCTAAAGAAATCGACCTTGAAAGGGCCATAGGAACAACAAGCGGCGTGAATCCGAAGCATTTTCAAAAATCAGTATCCGGTAAACAATGACGAGCTATTCAACAAGATGAAGCTCCGGCGATCCATCCTTGTGAACCAGATGTCTGATTAATCAGCGCCTTCCGACTTCCGGCGGGGAAATGGGGATGGAGAACACTGAAGTGTGTGAGGGTGAATGCGTGACGCTGGACTTTTTCAAATGTAAGTTTTCCTTTTGTTTTCTACTCTTTTCCCCTCTTTTTCTTTGGCCTAAATCATTTATTTCCTTTTTTCGTTTTTCTTTTTAATGCCTGTCTACGATTATTCAATTTAGATTTTAACTTTACATATAATTAAATAAATATATGTCTGAATTGGACACATTTCGTGACAGAAAAAATAAAGATTATATAATATATGTAAGTGTCCAAATCTCATTTTAATGCAAATTTTGCAAGGAACACTAATCTCAGTCCACGTTGCATAACCAGGCGATATTCAAAACTATTTAAATATAAATTTAAAATAAATCTTACAATATTTGTTGTGATATTTTTACTTTTTCAAAAGAATTTATATGACTCGAATTCAAATGAGTCAAAGTAATGAATTCGAACACGAAATACGTAATGCATTATACACTAAGAAAAAAATTTAAAGTGGCAGTTCCTAATCCATTTATACCATAATAAATAGCTAAGATGTATAGATTTTTTTTTTTAAAAAAAAAAAAAACTATCCCGGTGGATACTACTTATAGAAGTAGGAAAAATCTCCATTTTATATATTACGGATGGGTTTTGATCCCTGGATCTCTACGAGATCTACTAAAAAACTTATCATCAGGTTAAAACCTCATTTTCAAATTCCTTGTAATAAGATATATATTTTTTTCATCTCATAAAAATAATACTCCCTCCGTCCCATAATTATTGTCCAGTTTTACTAAAATGAAAGATTTTATTTTTTGTCAAATTTAACTATATTTTAACTTAAACAACCGGATATACCCTTACATAAGTAATTGTTTAACCATTAAGATTTTATGGATAATGTTTTTTACTAAGAACAAATGTGTAACTTGATTCATAAAAAGTCAAATTAGACAATAATTTTGGGACAAAATTTTTTGGACAAAGTAGACAATAATTATGGAATGGAGAGATTACATTTTATTATCAGAAGAGAGTATATATACAATGAAAATAGATAATGAAAGAGAAAATCGATTGATGTGGCATAGGTACCCAAAAAAAAATGTGGCATAGGCACAAATACATAATTACTCCTTGTTTTGTTGGTAGTTATTTTAGTAATAATTTGATATTTATATGTTTTTATTAGTCACCATTCATTTTCACTACGAATTCTAATTTTTATTCCTCAAAATGGAAAATCCACAAAGTTTTTTTTTTCATATAGGGTTAATAATACTTGGGTTTTTATTAATTTTTATAAATTTTCTGAAACTAAAAAGTAATACACTTTGATTGTAAGCAAATGTGCAACAAATCTTTCTCAAAAGAGGGGGGAAAAAAGAAGCAACAAATTCATCATTTATCGATGTCAAATGCAAAGTGCGCATTTGAAACCATTGCAGGCTGCACTGTTTAACTAGATGATTCGCCGAGGTATTTTAAAATGGTTAAATGAAAAATAAATAACAAATTATTCAAAAAAGAATTTATAATATGTATAACATAATATAAAATCGGATCTACAGCGCGAGGCATTGTCTTGTGTTATTTAACACTATCATATATAACAACGTTCGTCCTTTTGACCAAAAATAATAATAATAATAATAACAACATTCAAGATTTTATTTTGAAATTACATGCCTCCATTGTCTTTTGAAGTCGCATATGTTATTAGAACTCAACTTTAGTGTGAAGTCTCTATTTGGAATGATGAAAATACCCCTTGCAAAATCCAAAATGAAAATTGTCAGGCAGAACATTTCTCTAAATTCCATTGACAGAGAGGCCAAATATGTATTTGTGGTTCAGTCTCAAAACTATTCAGAAACTCACTAACAATCGGTCATCTTCCAGGGATCAAAAGTTGTGATCCATAGTTGGATTTGAATATTCTTTATACGGTTGCGAAGTTGAAGAATCACCTATAATTTTTCTTCAGAAGTCAGTTACAAATTTTAGTAGCGAACATGCTAAAAAAGGGCTCTAAACTCGGTCACTAAGTACTGAAGGTGTTGAAATTTCAGCATGCATGAAATAAATGATATCAATGAACTTACAGTTTCAAATGCAAAAGTAAAAAATTAGAAGTCTTGACCATCTTCGCCACCCACTTTGCACAGCTCAAATATCAAAACTAAATGAACAGTGAATAAAAATCCCACCACATATTCTAAAAGAACAATATAAATAACAAAAGAACCAACCATCAAATATTTTTAAATATTCAGTTATATGAGGAAACTGAAATTGTCAATTTATAGTTCTCTAAGAGCCTAAACTTCACCTCGTTCAAGTTTACCAATTAGGAAACAAAATATACAATCACATACCATAACAATTCTGTTAAAAGGGCTTAAAAGTAATGGAAAATTCCGTTCACATTCCCTAACCTTTTGTGTATTTATATACTCCTAATTGTCTTTTTGATTTTTCGTTTCCGAGGAATTAGAAAAAAAAATTGAAACAAAATAAAATCACTTTAACATGAAAGAAAATTAGATGAAAAAAAGGATCTTTACTTGTGACTATGCGGATGAGTTAGTTTCTAGTTTCTTCGTATTTTTGTCTCCTTCCTGAAGATGTAATACAAAAATTCAAAGAATCATCGATTAATGCTATATAAAAATTATGTGAAACTGGTTCTAAAAAATCCCATAAAATCCATGTTAAGAAAACCTTAAACTCACCATGGTTAGATCACTGTTTCACGTTGCCTTTCAGCCACTATCCTTTCGAAACTGTTGTATTGTTCCAGTAATTCTTTCGCACTCCCTAGTCCGATTTTATCATCACCAGACACTAATTTTGTCATTACTATAGCAGCACATGCAAAAAATATTTCATCGAACAGGACCAAAAATTCAAACAAAATTGAAAAAACTATTCGATAGATAACAAATCTCAGAAGATAACTCACCCAATATTCCTTGATAGGGTATTTAATCAAGGATTCGATCTCCCCTTCTTGGCAAAACACGAACTATGATGATCAGAAAATTTTCTCTGAATTTGATAGGGATTTGATCATTCCCGGATTTGCAAAGTGATTCAAATAATTTGTGTGACATGAGTCGGCGGCGGCAGAAGAAAGAAACTGATTGAACCAATACTGTTGTTGAGGAGGAGGAGAATTTGGCGGCAGTGGCGTCGATAACAATTTCGGAGGTATCGATCGGTGGGAAAAAGAGAGGAGAGAAAGAGTTTAGGGATTCGCACTGATTTGTATGTATTTATTAGATTGATGTCTACTATCAATCACAAAAGCAAGAAAAATTTTAAGGGGAGAAAAGATGAAAACTTTCTCGTTTCCGATTGCAGGTCAAAAAGCCAGGATATGCCTAAACTTTCTGCAGTGTTTTTAAAGATATATCAAATCAGCGCTAATCTTGGGATAAAGAATCAAATCTCATTTGATTTTGTTTGTGGGTTAATTTTTCCTGGTACTGTAGATAAGGCTGAGAAGGTAATAAAACCCGGGTAGAATATTTTTCTTTACTTGTTTACTTCTCTGTTAGTCTGTTGTTATGATTCTGATTCAGTCATTGCAAATTACAGGAAAAACGTGTTTAACTCCCTGATTTTGTGGTGCAAATACGGTTTTTACTTATTATCTTCTTTTAGTCTGTCACGTGTCATTTTTTATTTTGTACTAAAAAAACCTTTGGTGGAAAAATTTTCATTGTGGGGCTAACATGTGTTCTTCTTGTATGTTGCTTTAATTAAGTACTATAGATGCCAAAGCCCCACACTTTGCAGTCCATCAACAATTTTTTATAGTGTTTCTTCTAAACCAGATGTATCATAAGAAATGAGGCCTATTCTACATTATCTCTCTAGACACCGAAAAAGGGGAATGGCAGTGGCCTAAAATGAGGCCCAGGATTCTTGTTTAAGTGCTCTATTTTAAAAATTGTATTTTTTGAAAATAATATGTGTAGCAGAAAAACATATACTGAAAAATAGTGATTGATGTGAAAAAATAACTATTTTGTTGGCACTTTATTGTAGCATTTCTTTTTCCCAAAATTACACATTTACCTCTTATTATGGTATAATGTGTGCACATCAGTCAATGTATTTTATATATACAATATATAATTTTTAAAACCGATTATCATTGTAAGATAAATAAATAGTTACAGGGTTTAGACTACAACAACCTACATTTAATTTGACTTTCACATTATACCTAATCACATAAAAAGGATGAACTCAATACCGGGTACATAGTTAGGCTAAACTAATTTGATTAGATTGTGGAGCAATTCTAATTATAGTAGAAAGATATAGCATCCAAAAACTTGTAAAGAGAACCAAAATTACAACAAATTAAGTCAGCTCTAATTAAATGAAATTATAACTGGAGATTTGGCTCTGAATGTCAACTTTTATGCCTATAAGTCCCATATATCAAGAATTCTTTTATTTGTTGTTCTGTAAATCGTCATATTCATCTTTACCTTTCTTGTCGATTCATATATCTTTTTCTTTTTATCAGATCCATTGAATAATAGTTATTCTTTGTCCCACAAAAATAATCTACATTGAATTTGAAAATGTGTACTGTTTTTAGAATAAATCTCAAAACTTAATTTAGACTATTTTTTTGCGACGGAAGTAGTACATAAAATATACAAGAGAGCTATACTTCCATTAAGAAAATAATAAAAACATCCAATTAGGAGAGAGCAAAGGAATAGCCAAAAAAACTTAAAAGAAATTAAAGGGTGCCCCACCTATAATCATTCTTTTTTTAAAAAGAAAAAATGAGATGACCTTAGAGAGAATCGAACCATCGACCTCCTAGTAATAATCATCCCCTATCCTAAACCCCTAACCATCCCACCTACTTCTTACATCCCGCCCCACCTATAATCATTCATTAATGGAGGATGGGGAGGAAGTAAAATTTTTAGTGGTAAGAGAGAGGTGAGAGCAAAGAAGAAGAAAGATTTTCTTCATTCTAGACTTGAAACATTTAAGTTAATTAATCATCATGCATTTTTACTATATATACATATATTAATTATTTTTCACTGCCTATCATTGTTGGCTTTTTTTTTTTTTCCAATACTCCTACATTTGATAAGCAA